CTCGGGCACTGATGAGGAACCTCGGGATGTTCACCAGCCGGTGCAGGGGCAGTCCCCAGGTGCCGAGGGCCCTGAGAGGGACCCCCACAGCACCAGCCTGCCCCCAGGTGCCGAGGGCCCTGATAGGGGCAGGCGGATGATGGAGACCTCCGGCGGCCTGGACGTCTCTCCGCGGTCAACACCCTCAGGGAAGGGGCCACTCCCAGGTGCCGAGGGCCCTGATAGGAGGGCCCCATTCCCCCCAACCCCCCCAGGCACGGAACGCCCTGGGGGGAGCAGGGGGGAACCCCTGACGTGGCAGCCGCCGACACAGGGGGAAACCTTCATCATCCTCAAGGCGGATGTCACCAAGGCCCACAGGCGCATAAAAGTGCTCCAGAAAGACTGGAAATACCAGGTGGCCTGCATCCAGAACCGGTGGTGGGTCAATAGAGTGGGCACGTACGGCATGGCCTCGGCACAACTGTACTGGGGAAGAAAGGCATCCTTGGTGCTCAGACTCTTGTACTACATCTTCCCTCAGGTGGACTGGCACTTAGTCTTTGTGGACGACTACTGCTGGGTCCTCAGATGCAGCAGGGCGGACTGGGACGCCACAGCCATCCTGGCCACTCTTCTGGCGCTGGGAGTCCCGCTTTCTTGGAAGAAGACGGCGCTCTCCCCGGTCAATACCTGGTTGGGATTCGTGGTGGACCCAATCACGCCCTGTGTGCTGCTGGCTCCAGTCAAGCACGTCATAATCCTGGCCACTCTCAAACGGCTGGCCCAGGGGGACATCTTTACCAGCAAGGAGGTGGAACAAGCCCTGGGCCGGATTCAATGGGCTACTTCGGCGTGTCCATTGACGAAACCTTTCCTCCAGCCCTTTTGGAGCTGGAAGAAGGCCTGCACCACTTCGGGCAGGCCACCGAAGCTGGTTCGTGCTCTGGCCATCCTTCTGGGGAAGCTCTTCAACCAGAGGTTCCCACTGGCATCTCCATTTGCTCCCACACTTCCATGGACGGGGGCATCTGATGCGGGAGCTGGCAAACAGGCGGACCATGCATGGGTTGGTGGTTGGTGCTCGGACGTGCCCAACCCCGACAAGTCCCGAGTGAAGTGGTTCCAACACAGAATCACACCGGAGGGCGAGCCGTGGGCCTTCACTACTGGGGACCCGCAGCGGGCGATAGCGGCCTTGGAGCTCTTCGGCCTCCTCCTTTTGGTGAGGGCTGTTCTGCTTTGTGCAGCCGGCTCGGCTTCTCACACTAGGATTCTGGTTGCTAGTGATAACCAGGGAAACGTTTTCTCCCTGCTTAACGATTCCACTCGCAGGATGCCCAATGCGGCCATCCTCATGGAAATTGTGTTAACACTGCATGACCACCAGGTCATGTTAGGACCGTCGCATGTGAAGCGCGACTTTAACACATGGGCGGATGAACTTACTCATCCGGACCCGCAATTTCCGACTGAGAACCGGGTCTTCCCCTCAGTCGAAAGCGAATTGGTCAAGCTGATCTTCGCTACTTTCCTTCCTCACCCATGATGCCGGGAGGGCATCCGGTGAGGTGGGAGGATTCCTCCCTCGCTGTGGGAGTGGCATCAATTCTACTCCCATCAGCTGCTGAGGGGAGCTGCCCAGTGGAGCTGGGCAATCCTCCCATTTTGGCACTAATCCTTATGCGGCGTAAAGGATGCACCGTTTCGCGATTAAGGTACCAGTAGCACCAATGTGGTGCTTTGAAGAGTCCAGAGAATCTGGGCAGTCGGCAGAATTGGTAAGCAGCCATGCAGCAGCTGCATCGATTCAACCGAATGGAAGGTGAGCAGGTCCTTTGAATGGCGGTTTGGACATGAAACAAGTGGCCCAACCCTGAGTCCGGGTGACTGCACAGATATGCTCGTGCAACCCGTCTGTTGGTGCGTTCCGACCACGGCGGTCCTTTTTTTTTTCCTCGGCTGTTGCCAACTGGGGGTTGCGGCCACGTTGGGACCTGAGATATATGGCTGTGGCTCAAAAAACCGGTACACAAAATGGAACCCTGGTAAGTGGAAACATGGACCAAAACCCGCGGTTTGCCCCTCCTCTTTAATTTTGAGCCACAGCCATATTGGTTCACCTTGGAAAACTCCGGGTATTCCTCTGCCCACAGATACATATTTTTTCTTGTTTGTGCGATATAGAGGGGTTTGGTCGTGGCTGCGAGAACAGAGGAATCAAACCCAGGCTGCAAAAGCAGGGCCCAGACCAGAAATGGTGAAACGCCCAGCTGCTGATAGCTGGGGCACCCTCAACATAGATGGCGCTGGTCTCGGGCTTGAAGCATCAAGGCTGCCATTGGGCTGTCTTTTTGTGTCTTCTTTGTGTCATTCGGGACGCCTAGCTTGGGCTCTCACCCTGGAAAGAGCTTGGCTGGGCAACTTCGAGGGAGCAGTGCAGTCACTTGAACTCGGGTGGAGGTCCAAATGCAGTATGTCGCCCTGATTGGTCTCTTGAGTGGATTGGTCACGGTCTTACAACGGTCTTCCCAAAAAAAGAGGTCCAGGAACTCGGGCAGGGCAGGAAGAAGTCCAACTTCTTCCGAGGATTTGCAAAAGGTACAGGGAGAAACATTGACGCAGTGGGAACACTGCCTAGGTGTGTAGAGTGCTCGGCCACCTGTGCGAGGCAACACCAAAGTGAGAAACTCCGTCCAAGCTGTACAAATCAAAGATGTCTCAGACTCTTGGCAGTAGATGAAAAAGGAGTTGAACCCTGCCGCGTGGAAGAAAGGATCTTTAGGGTTGACATTCCGGAATCTGTGCTCCGAATGTGCCAAAGAGGATCATTTCCGTACTGAACTGCGGCCAAGGGTGGTTCCCCCTTCTGCCAAGGGTCCCATTGCTCCAACTCGAGCATTTTGGCTACTCCGTTTGCAAGTAGCCGACCTGATCCTGATTTCGGTTTTGGATTCAGACCACAGGAATAAGTCATCATTTGCTGAACTGGTTTGTTCAAGCCTCTTCGAAGATTGGAGGGTCCACTCTCACTGACCCTCCCAACACGACGTGAGTGAGCGCTGGTACCAGAGTTGATGGAGTTAGCCACTTGACAATCTCCGGAGACTCGGACCAAAGGCGCATTCTAACCTGCGGTACAGCTCAGCAGGTACTTGTGCCTGGATTTTTCGCTGGCTTTGGGATGGCACATGGTACATGACATACACATTTATGCATGTCTATTACACATGCAGCACAGTCGTGGGCTGGCAAGAGTCTATGCCAATCAATTGAACACATCAGTGTGGTTCCTGATGCTTTTTCAGAGTATATACCCACTCAGTTGTTACTGTTGAAGGTGTGTTTACTATGTTAATCAGAATTTGAATTATTCTGCATACTAATCGTTTTTTTGACCGATTTCAACGCCAACTTCGATGCACCTTCAGAATGATTAAACAGCCATCTGTAAATTGATGTCTATCGGCAAATCTGGAAAAGTATATCTCCAACGCAATTGCAATTGCAACATTTGTTGGGTATAATAGGGTTCCCTCACAGGCAATATCTTTCTCAGCGCCTTGGTGGTTGCCCTTTTTGGGGGTACATCCTCACGATTCCTTCTGGTTCCTTTTCAATTTGTAACCCGAGTTTTCCGCGAAGGCTTCGGTCACAAAAGGCTTCCGGGATCCAGTTGGAGCCGAACTTGCGGGGCTCATGTTGAGCTGAGGGTCGAATTGTTGAGTCGAATGGTTGAGGGTTTGAGGAATCTTTCTGCGATAGGGAATGACCCAGCCAGGGTGTTGGCAATGAAGCGGGTTTGGGGATGTCCTTCAAGGAAACCACCAGTTGGATGGTTTATAGAGGTCATTCCAACTCATTCCCTAAGAACCAGCAAGTGATCACCACGCTTGTGGATCACGTGTTGCAAGCCCGGCTCGACGGCCCCTTTCACCCGGAAAGGGGCAGCGAAACGAGGTGCAAGCAGAGCCATTTTCATTGGAGGGCAGCCGTTGCAGCGTGCTTCTGGTGGCTGGTCCCGGTTGAAATTCGGCCCGCGCAAGTGGTCCCGCAAGGGAGCCGCTGGCTGGAAAGGGCCATGGAACAGGCGTTCGGTTGCAGAAGAAAAGCGCGCATGGCGTGCGCACTTTTTGGCCATCTCGCTGGTATGCCGCGGGTCCGCAGAATGGTGGCAGTGGTTCCGCTTCGGCATGAAATCGTTGAAGGCTGACGTAGGAAGCTGGAATGCATGCGCAAGGTGATGTTTGCAGGCCGAGCCAGACTGAAACAGAAAGCCGTGGAAGGCATGGCGCAAGAGTCTTTGAGCCTCGTCCATCCTCGTGCTTGGGGCTTGGCCAGGTTGTCCATGTGTGCTATGGCACCATTTGGATGAACCCCAGTAAAGATACTAGGTCCCCAGCTAGGTGCCCTTTTACCGTTTCCTTTTTTGGGGAGGGTTCTCCTACTAAAGTAGACTACAGAAGAAAACATCGGGTGCCCTTTTTCTAAGCTCTGGAGGACCTAGTACAGGAACCACGACCATGGCCCGGGTTGCGACGCACATGAAGCATTTAGCAAGGTCCTGACGCTGGGCTTGGTCGGCACGTATGGACTTGGTCGGCCGGACTCTGGCCATGAAGTTGCTTCATTCAGCAAGCTCTGCGATCAATTTGTTTTCGCTTCAACTTTTGCTCAACTCAATGCAAGAGAGAAAAAAGAGGATATGTTCTGATCTTTCTCCAAAGCTGGAGATGCTGTCCTCTTGGGAACTCGTTTGCCCCATGTCTCAGATTCTGGTTTTCTGTTGCATAGTGGCAACTTTGGATGGCCTTTGTGGGGCTGAAAGGACACCATGGTTCACCATCGCATTTTGAAGAGCTCCTTTGCTCACTTTGAGAGCTTCCCTTGCATTCGGTTCAGCTCCGCTACTCCCAAGAGCACATCTACTAACATCCACCCTGCCGGGCGTCCTTCAAGGTTTGATTTGACGGCGGGGGTGGGGAAGCCGCCGGCAGGCCGCTTTGGTGTTTGTTTTTTGGCTCGAGATGAGCAGGTCATCCCGAGGCGTGTGCTGACGCACTCGGTCACTTCTTTGTGCCTCGCCCCAGATGAATCCCAAAAAGGACAGTCTTTTTGAAAGTGCCCACGATGAAGTGCAAGACTGGACAAATCCTTTTCGCGCACTCTGACTCAATGTGACTCAATGTGACTGAATGTGACTCAATCGTTTGTTGAGAAAGTGACTGGAGCTATCCTGGACGGGCAAGGGTACCTCACGATTCCCTTCTTCACAGCTGCAATTCCCGCTTTGATCAAGTCCTTGCCAATTTGACGAGCTCAGCTTGCAGAAGCCCGGGTTTTGGCCGGCCCAGTTTCTGTTGCAAGCTGATAGTGACCAAGAGGCTATGGTGTCCAGTAGGGGCTGCCTTCTGCACAGGCAATCTTTTCAGTCCTAGGGACCGCCCCGTCTTCAATTGGGAAATATGCTTGGCCCTGTCTTCGGTTTGAGTTTTTGCCAACCTGCCAAGGGGTGGGGAGATATTTGGCCCCACCCAAGTCTGAGCCAGTGCCGGTTCATTGGCCCGGAGTGTGTTGCAACAAATTGGCATTTGGCCGCGTTTTTCTTTGAGGCTCCGTACACCTTTCACCTTGGTCTGAAGGGAAACGGGAAAAGCCGGTTTTGATTCTTTACTTGGCTCTGGGCAGGCAATTTAGTACCAGGTTCTGATTATGACTCATTTGATTCAGATAGCCTGCACGGCCATGCGCAAGGCGCGAGTCCATTCCCCACTCGAGCCGAGGATGCATGCGCGCATGGCTTCTGACCGCTGTGCGCAGCTCTAAGCGCTGTCATTTTGAGCGGCAGATGTTTCCGCACAAGACCTCGCAAGACCCGCCCCAAGAATCGACCCAGCGCAATATGTTTGCTAGCACCATGGGGCCCAGCTCGTCTTTGACCAAGGCCCGCGATCAGCCCATGTTGCTTCGAAGCTTCCACAGGTGATGGCCCTTCTTAGATCCAAAGGGTCAACATCAAATTGGTATAGTCCTCATTGTTTTTATGATCCTCCTGCTCCTCCTGCTCCTCCTGCTCCTCCTGCTCCTCCTGCTCCTCCTGCTCCTCCTCCTCCTCCTCCTCCTCCTCCTCCTCCTCCTCCTTTTCTTTCTCCTCGTATCATCGTATCATCGTATCATCATTATCAACATCATCGTCATCGTCATCGCCATCATCAGCATCTTCATCAGCATCATCATCATCATCATCATCATCATCATCATCATCATCATCATCATCATCATCATCATCATCATCATCATCATCATCAACATCATCATCTTCTTCTTGTTTTTCCTGTTCTCCTTCTTCGTCCGCTCCACATGAATGTTATGTGTGCGGCATCATTATTATCCATTGTTATCCCGGGTTGCCATGAACATGCATGTATAGGTGGCCCTGGGGGGGGGATGGGGTCAGCATATATATATATATATATATGTTCCAGGCCGTGGACCCCCCCCCCCTCCCCCCCCCAACCCCCCCCCCCTGTGGGGGTGGGGTGGGTGGGTGGTGGGGTGGTGGTGGGGTTGTGGGGTGGTGGTTGGGTGGTTGGGTGGTTGGGCCAACCCCCCCCCCCCTGTGGGGGGTGGGGTGGGTGGTGGGGTGGTGGGGTGGTGGGGTGGTGGGGTGGTGGGGTGGTTGGGTGGTTGGGTGGTTGGGTGGTTGGGTGGTTGGGTGGTTGGGTGGTTGGGTGGTTGGGTGGTTGGGTGTGGTTCGGAGTTGGTTTAGGCTTGGTGGGTTGGTTTAGGGTTGGTTCAGGGTTGGTTCAGGGCTGTCAGGGCTGGTTTGCGGTGGGTTTCGGGTGGGTTTGGGTTTTGGGTTGATTTGGGCTTAGGGTTGGGGTTAAGGAGGGGTTGCAGGGTGGTTTGGTTTAGGGTAGGATGTTGCGAGAGGTGCGGGGGTGTTGGTTCACGGGGTGAAAGGGGGTCTGGGACCGAAGCTGCAGGGCTCGCACGGTACTGGACAGCATCCCCAGCATTGCCAGCATCATCCCCAAGATGCGGATGATGCGGGGGAATGGGGGGACCATACCATTGGGGGGGGGTACGTGGCCCAGGGACTGGTACATATATATATGTATGTATGTGTATGTATATATATATATATGTATATGTTATATATGTACTATATATATATGTGCGTATATATATATATATACTACACATCTATATGCGTATGTATCAGGATGTGTGCGCACCTCGTTGACGTTAGGGGGTCCCAAGTGCATGTCTGGAGGCCGATTTAGCTGAAGCGCAAGTCAACCGGCTTGCTTCCTTTCTTGGGGGGGTCCATCTGGGTCCGTGTTCCTTCGGAAACCCTGAAAAGAGGTTGGGTTGAAGGGAACTCGAAAGGACTGCCTTGCCATTTTTAACTGGAGGTATCATTCTTGGCTGGTATTCCTACTAAAGCTGCCATTTTTACTTGGTATGCCAACCAAAGCTGCCATTTTGGGGTTCATTCCACCTATTGTTTTGACACCCCCATGTCCCATAAGGCTGGGCTGCTCACTGGCTGAGAGGGCGGTCCAGGCTGAGGCATCGGAAGATGGGATGGGGACAACTCGGGTGGAGAATCCAGCACATGGTTTGCCGTTCGTGGCAAAATGAAGGGAACCCCCCCCCTGAAGAGGCTTTGGTAAGCCTTTGTTTCTAGAATGCCGATCACAAACTGTTTGTGGGCGGATTGGCAATGCAATTTTGTCTGGATTCGTTGCTTTCCCTTGGCATCCCAGGCGCATGCAAGATTTGCGGCAAACAACTTCGTTCGAGGGGCAACCCTGGCAGGGGCCGCGAGCAAGCGAGCAAGCCGACCCTATAGCAAGCAAAAAGCCAACGGAGACGGTCAAGTCAACACCCGCGTCATATTCATTCTTTGTGGTTGAGTTCTTCAATTCTTTAGATTGCCTCAGGGCTCAGATTGGCAATGCAGGCGTTAGGAGGCCTCCACATCACGGGGTTTACCGGTTGAAGGGCCTTTGTTGCAAGCAGAGGGTTCCTGGTGTGGAGCCAAGGAGAGGGGTTGGCTATGATCCACCGTTTGCCGCGATGTTGTTTCGTTTGGCTTTAAATCAACGGATGCAAGGGAGCGCCTGGTGGCCGTTTCTTGGCGAGCGGGATGGAAGCTTTCCAGCCCTACAACTGCATAGAACTGGGAGGTTTCCGTCCCTACTAGGTCCCTGAAAGTGAGCATTTCATGGGGATATCATGTTGTTTGTTCTTTCTTTTGGGGTGGGGGGAGGGGTGGGGTTCCCTTTAAACCATGATTAAGAAGGTCATTTTGAGGATGCCACAAGGACCCCTTCCTACGCCTCCACTCTTTGTTTGCTTGGGGTGGTATGGGGGTCAGCTCAAGCTTCCGCTGAGAGGAAGCCGAAGGTGCAGACCCCAGGAAAGGCTCGTAGGGGGGGTTCTTAGAAAGGGGGAGTGAGATGTTTTCTGGGCGGAGGCGGGGTCCCTTGAGCATGGACACACAATCTCCAGGTTTGTCAGGAGGACATTTAACAAACTGTTCTGGGAGCAGTCGGTTGAACGCCAGCACTACTCAAAACAAATTTAAGCCAAACAAATTCTGAAAATCAATCCTGCGCACACACACACTCACTCACTCACACTCACCGGTACACATATCATGGCAGTTTTGGCCATATGTAATTAGTTGTGTTTGGATAGAAGTTTATGAGACAGGGCCATAGGTGTCCTTTTTGGTTGTTTTGGTAGAAAATAGATGGCCCTGGTTTACCTGGTGGTTTAATCATCTACCAGGGCCATCTATTTGCCCTAAAAGGACACCTATGGACAGGGCGGTCTGGCCGATTCCCCTAAAGTCATTGGCACCTTGGAAAGGCCGGACCGCGCGGCTCCATCGGCTATTCCCTTCTTCATGACTGAGCCTCAGACGGTTGCCACTGAACTGACTGCTCCCACTTAAAAAAGGAGTGTGTCAAATAACGATTTTGGATACCCCTGTTTGCGCCAGGCGCTTTTTCTACAAGATTGGATTTCCCTACCAACAAGGAGGGCGGTCTTTCGTTCGACGCATGCACGCCTGTTCTGCATATCTCACATGCACAGCCACTGTGTGTCCCCCATGTACCACATGTCTCATACGTAAGGTCTAGTGGTTCTTCATTGCGTAGCATAAAGCATAAATCTGTCCTCTTGCGCCACGTGCTTGATCGCGCATCCACATTCTTTCTTGAGGTTCTGGCCGCGTTGTTCCTACGCTGCAGTTGCGGTATGAATCAGCCCTTGCTGTTTAATTCGGCACCTGCGTGGCCCCAAACGTTTTGTCAACCAGTGGGCATTTCCTGAGTCACTGCGGCATCAGTCTCCCTTGGAAGCCTTAGGGTGAACCGTGCCATCCACCAAAAGTTCAACTTTTGGTGGGTTAAATGGAAACCCCCCACTAAACCCGAAAAGCTTGAACGCCTGAAACTTAAGGGGATGGCTGGGAACCACCAAACATAGTGAGAAATTATCCGCCTGTAAATTCATAGCTAGATGCTAGATCAAATCAGCGTCACGCTACTGGTGTAAGAAGGAAGAACACCCTCAAACACAATAAGCATGCATCCCCAAGTAAATGATGTCCAACGGGTTCCGAACTAAAGATCACACCCATGCACAGCAGCTCCGTCCTGAAAGATTCTTCCAACTGGAGCCTGTGCGCTTTCAGTTTCGTCATGTGTCTTTTCCCATCAGCTTCGGTTGCTCCCCCAGGCAGTTGCCCGAACCTACCCCGGGGTCGGGGGTGAGGGGGGAATACTTACACATGACGCTCCTATGAACTACCTCACAATGACTTAGCTCCAGATATACTTGGCTGTGGGTTAAAAGATAGGTACCCAAAATGGAACTCTGGTAAATGGAAACATGGACTAAAATCTGCTGTCTGATGGTTTAACATTGACCCACACCCACCTGGAACCCAGAACCAACCCCCAGCAGGTCACTCCAGGTACCTGGTGTCCCCCCTCCCCCCTGAGACGAGGCGAGGGCAAGGCAGCTGAAGGAGGTGACGCGATCCTATGAGGACCAGGTGAAGGGCAAGCTGGTGGACGCGCCTCCGATGGGGTGGATGTGGGGGGGGGGGATGGGTGGGAAATGGGAGAAAGGAGACTTGAAGAGTAGGAACCACAAGTGGATGGTGTTGACACGAATCAGGACCTACCGCATTTTGATGTCCACGTTACAGGGTAAGTGCTGTAAGTCGTCCCGGGTTGATCTAAGTCGTCCCGGGTGAGTGTGCCCGTTGTGTTTGTGGATGTAAAGATAGTTGTCTCAAGCATGTCATTTTCTGAAATCGCATAATTCTGTGCTGTGCGCATTCAAAATGTCATTGGGATGAGGGACGGCTCACCCGCGTCGGCAGCCCTTTTGTCGGGTGTTCTGGGGAATCAACAGAAAACACTATTTATGTTTGAAGGATAGGAACCCTTTAATTGCAGTGTGCCCAATAGGGTTTTGCCCGGAAAAAGCATTCAACATGAACCCAAACCAGTGAGTTTTGAGCATGTGCGTGCAGTGTGCGGTGAATTCTTGGGGTTGGCAACATCGCCCCTCCAGTTCTGTGCCCACTGTGTTTTGCAAAAATGGGGTGACTTAAAATGCATGGGGTGACTTAAACGGATATGCGTAGTTCCAAGCGGCTGGGGATGGCTGGGGTGACTTAACGCGACGTGGGGTGACTTACGACGCCCGCTTGTAGGGGTCACTAAGTAGAAATCATGCCCAAATTCAAAGCGGGGGGCAAGGGGCAGTGCTTGCTCGGTTTGGATTGATGGTTCTGGAGATTCTAGTTTATTCTCTGTTTCTTGTAATTGGTGGGTAAACGAGGCACCTCCTGAGTTTTAGGGCGTGACACCCAGAGTACCCCTTTGAAGTCAAGTTGTCATGTGGATGTGCCTCGGGGAGAGCTTTGGGTGTCTTTTTCGTGAAGTTGGTACGAAAGTCTTGGTTTGTTTAAATGTTGGGTTGCTCCTGTCTGTTGAGACAAATCCAGAGGTCGATCAACATATTCTGAAATGTCTATGGTCCATGTGGTAGGGGTTCTCAAATTTATCATTCTTGGAAGGCGGGCCTTCTGGAACCTTCCGATCACCGATTCCATTGTTTTTCCCTCCGACCCCCCAAAATCGTCCCCTGTTTGATTTACCCCCGTGCAGCTGGGGAATTTGTGCCATCCACACCAGGGTGAAGGTAGATGGCGCTGCTCCCTTTGTTGGTAAGCAAATGGACTGATTAAGCCCTAGTGGGGGGAATTGTGCCAACTACTTACCCAGCTTTCAGTCTGGAGTATTTCATTTGGTTTAGCAATATTGGAAATCACTCACACCAGGGAGAGGATGAACTAGTTTGTTGTTTCCTCTCTTTTTGTCTTCAAATGGAAACCACAGGGAAACCAGGGACACTTCTGGATTGGGGCCTCGGTTCTATGGTTCATTTGGAAGGAACATGGGGGACTCTTTGAGTTTCTCACAAGAGCCAGGGGGGCGAGCCCTACTTTCCCATGTGCTCTTGGGGCACGTTTGCAGCTTTGACCGTCCCTCACACCGCCCAAAATGGCCGCCGTGCTGCCGGGCGCGACGTTCTCCGTCGGTTCCGTTGAGGCAGCCGATGTGCACCTGCATCAGAAGGAGGACTATGAGAAGTACATGGGCAACTACCATAACGGCGCGAAAACCCAGGCCCGGCCCGTTGCTCTCGGCTCGCTAAATTGGGACAGTAGTTCCAGCTGAGCTGCCCCAAATCCAGTTTTTTTGGTCCAAATTGAGAGTGCGGGAGAAACGGTCACCTGCTTTCAGTGAACTTGGCGAAGAAAGCCAAAGAGGCTTGCCAATAAAGACTTTCACCTGATTTGGTGATCATTTAATTATTGTTTTCCTGTTGACTTTTTAGGAGGAACACGCTTGGCCTCTTAGCTTACGCGCCTGGCATCCAACTCTCGCCCCCGCCCGAGGGCGGCTAAGGTTAGAGCTCCCGCAGTCCCTTCCCCCGACTCTGCTTCGGCACGGGATTTTTTCCCGACAGGAGCGCTTGGTTCATCAACTGCGAAGACACCTGAAGAAGAAGCACAACCGGAAGACTGCCCAGATCCAGCACATCTTGGACGCACAGCTGGCAGACTTGGAGAATGAGACTGCGGCAGAGGATGAGGCGGTTCTTTTTTTTTGATATTTTCTTTGTTTTTTTCTTATTTTTTTTTGCTCGGGTTCGGGTTGGGGGGGGGGGGGAACATGGCGCTTGGATACATGACACAGGGGGGTTTTGCCGCGCGTGGCAAAGAAACCTTCCTTGCCTGCCTTGCAGGGTACGGTCCAGTGAAGGGAACTCATCCTGAGGATGAGGAGGAAGATGCGGACGAGGACGAGGACGAGGAGGTTGAGAACAATTCACCAGCGAGTGAGGAGGAGGAGGAAGATTATGACGAGGAGGATGAGGAAGAGGAGAGGGCGGAAGAAGAAAGTGACGGCAGGCCGCATAGGCAGATACCCGATAAGGAGACACCCCAGTCAAACCCAAGCAAGAAGGCGCCAGCTATGAGCCTATAGCTTTCGCAGTGGATCGATGCCCGTTGACTGGACCTTGAAGAGGCGCAGCGCGAGAAAAAAGAACGTCAGCGATGCGGCGAGGGATGGGAGGTTGGAGCGCCGGTTTGCACGCAAGAAAGCAGCACACATTCCAGACCCAGGCAGAAGAGGTGGACTAGTTGGGGGGGGGGAGTGAGCAAGTTAACAAGTTAGCAATCCTTCTTGGGGGATGGGGCAGGGGTTGGGCGAGCTGTTCCACATAGACATCCTGTTGGATGTATTTGGGGCACCCGCGCCTGGGCTATGTAAGCCTTTGTTGTCACTTCTTGGTAGAAACAAACGTCAAAAGGTTTGGGGCGCCTCAATTGAGTTCTCGTTGGCATTGGGGCGATGTGCCCGAGCATGAGTTCCAACTTGTAAGACTCAGGATCAATTTGAGTAAGCATTGTTGACACTCGGGAGAAACATCATTGAGCCTTGCCGAGCATGTCTAAGTTTACGAAGGCATAACATGCAAACGTACTGTGTTCTTTAAGCCACTCAAAACCACATTCCATTCTGATCTAACGCGAATCTAGCCCATCAGAAAGGGAACGTTGACCAAGCCCAACCAAATGCATCGCCTATGATTCCTACGTCTACGGTGGTCTGCTTGGCGGTCATTTGTCCTCAACTGCAGTGCTGCCGCGTGCACTGAACACCAAACTCAGTAGCAACCCTCAGGAAGAACTCTGGGAAGCACACAGAAACACTCAGGAACACTCAATCACCAATCAAAGAACAGCATTTGGGCGGTTCTAGGCTAAGAAGCACTCGGTGGCGCTCAACGTTTCGAGCCGGCAAGATCGATATCAGTGTGACAGACTATCAACCCTTTGCATGGCAAAGCTAGAAAATACCGTGTTCGTCAGAGGTCCAGGGTCCTACATGCCAAATCCTTGCTGGGCTCAGTGGTGTTCAGCAACACTAGGTGAGTCTTACTGAGACTTTTGGCATTGGGGGTCAGTGGGGGTAAGATCACTCACCTTTGATTTACGACTTGCCCTTTGTCACCAGTGAAAGAGTATTGAGCCCCCTGTTTTCCCTCTTTCCAACAATCACGAAAGTGGACAGGAGGTCTTTCGAGAGGACTCCAGACTTCCACTCACGCGGCGAAATCTCGACGGCCAGGACATTTGCGGGTCATGACGAATGCTAGGTCCCCCAGTAGTGCTCCTTCTCGCCGTTCCTTTCTTTGGGGGGGAGGGGTCCCCTACTAAAACAGACTACAGAACAAAAAGGGTACCCTTATTCTAAGCTCTCTACTAGAGGACGCCACGATCTTACGGCAGTTGACGCTTTTTTCCCACAGGTCCAAGAAGCAGCCGCATGGCGGGAACCAGAGGCAGAATGCAACCCCTTTTGTCAAAGAAACTAGGGCCCCCCCCAAAAAAAAAACGGAAGGAAGAATGTTCAACAGTACTTGGGTTCGTGTCAAAATAGAGGACCCGTTTTCAAAATTTTCCTCCAAAAAGCAGCCGGACGCACCGCCGCGGATATTTGGCTCGCCATGTCGGACGCCGAATCCGAAGAGTCCAGCGAGTCTGGGGAGCAGCCGCCAGCGGTTTCTGCGGCGCCCTATGAGAAGATCTCGTGCCCCTCGGTGTCTTTGGGTCGAACCCCCCCCAAGGTGGGAGACGACCACAACACACGGGGAATGTTGAGCCCATATTCAGCAACCCCAGTTCAACAAGAGGGTGTTCCCCTCCAAAAGTTATAGTTTTTTACTAGACACCCTATTAATCTATGAATAAACCGGGGTTGAGTAATATGGGGTCACCATGACCCTTTTTCGGGTCGGTTAAAGCGAACCCCCCCCCCCCCCTTTCCCAAACAAAATCGGGGCAAGACAAGTTTGGCACATACCCAATTCTGGACGTCGTTCAACCGTGCCCCAAATCGGAAAATACCCCAAACACACAAGGAATTGTAAAGGAAGATCCCCGAAACGAAGGTTTGGGTTGGGATCTGTCCGAGACCTCTGGATGTTTGACAGCCGAAGGGTCAAGGAATGCGGTCGAAATGCAGGAAAGGGGGCTCACAAGGTAGCCTCTTTCCAATGCAAATCGACACCAACGGCCTTTTCGGGTGTGTCTGGTTTTTAGGTGGTTTTTTAAGGGGACACCGAGGGAGAACCCTATTTTTTTTTCGGCCTCCCGAGTTTGAGACAAAGCCTTCTATTTTAAGATTGAGCTTCTAAGCCAGGCTTTGTTCACCTTTCATTCGTGGGCCCTTTCGGGCAGAGATTTCCATGACGGTTGCAGGGTCCGAGTTACGAAGGCTTGGGCGAAGGCGCCTTTGGCGCTGTGTGGCTGGCGCGGTGCAAGAGCAGCGGCCGGCACGTAGCTCTCAAGGAGAAGCATGGGATGGGGGGACAGGGGCGCCTTTTAAAGAGCTTGCAAGCGAGGGGACAGGGTTTTCGTTTTTCCTGTATGGTGGTTTTCAGCCTCATCTGTTTTGAGACATGCCATGCTTAGCGTGACATGACTTTTCCTTGTACGAAGGGGCATCTAAGGAACTCTTGAAGATGGGGATGGACTGATCTTGTGCAACACCAAGGAACTCCACTGAGTTTCTTTTGAAGCAAGATAGCCTGCGAAAGCAACAGCAGCCAGTTTGGGAACGAATGGGTGAACATAAGTTTGAGATCAACGCCTCAACCTTCTCCAACCCTGTCAAGAACCTTCGCAGCTTTGCAGCATTTCGTCAAGTGAGCCCTTTCTGGGTGCAACAAACTGAGGCCAAGCCGGAATTCGTCATGTGCCATGGGCCTGTGCAATTCCCCCCCCCCATATGGGCGAGTGTTTCTTTGAGGATACCCTGTTCAGGTTGGTTTAAATGGATACCGACTGCCAAAATCTCCAGTTCATGAGATTCCCCTATTTTGACACATACACATCGACCTCACCAAACGACAAGGCCACTTGTTCGTCCCAAGCGCCATGCGCTTCGTTCGCTGCTTCTCTTCACGAACAAGTTGGTTCCATGTTCACCCTCATGTCGAGCCTGTCATTTGGCAGCAAACCTGTGCTTGCGTCATAAAGTTGGGACCTTTTATTTGATAGTGGTTCCATGGCGATCTTCCCTTTGAACACCACCCAAACAGGGGGATCACCTATTCGAGCACCACCCATGCGCCACATGCAGCAACATTCACCGGCATCGTTCTGAGGCATGACACCAGCCCCAAAAGCTGGGGAGGGCTGGGGTGGGGGCGGGGTTGGGTTGGGGTGGGGGGGGGGTGAGGGCGGTGGGGGTTGTTGTTCTGCTTGTTCGCAAGACACATATTTTGGGCCACAATGTTTTTGGACGTTGCACCTCCTGACACCATGAAAAAGGGCGAATATGCAAATGGTACGATCTGCTACGAATGTCCGATGTGTGAAAGGGGCTATCCGCAAAAGTTGTTATCGTGGACTGATAAACTCCTGCAGTCGACGGGTAGTTCAATTTGTCCTAGGCCTTGTTTTGCTTCATTCATCGTTTCTAAGCGGCGCATGATTTTGTCCATCCATCGGACCCTCTCTTTGTGCCTCGGGCACGTAGCATTTGTGATTGTCCGTTCGGTTTTCTTGATTACGTCATGATTCCCATTGAAATCTCAGGGGAGTTGGACCACGGTGCATATTCCGCCGTGGGTCAAACGCCATGTTTTGCTCGGCGGTGACACACTAGCACGCGCATGGCCCTGTATTTTTGCCACGCGCAGCACATTCGCACTGCACACGCGCCTGCCAAATGCTAAGCACACCCGCTCACGCGCAGCCTCCGCTCACGCGCAGCATGTTCACGCCTGCCAAACGGCAAGCCCGCCCGCTCACGCGCAGCCTAAGGCCCAAGCCCCAAACCGCTCAAATAAAAAAAGGCTTGCTCCAGGTCTTAGGTCGTGTAGCTCAGTCAAAAATGGCTTGACCCAGGTCTTAGGTCCTGTAGCTCAGTCAAAAAGAGGCCGAAGAGGCGCAGCGGTCTACCGGAAAGGGCTACTTGAAGGCTCCCAAAAGGTAAGCAGGTAGTCTTGTTTTGCAAAAGGCTAAAGTAGTTGTACAGGAGCCAAACGTGCAGTTTAACCTGCAAGTACCAATGCGAACGTCCTTCCCCACTGTATCTGCCGCGCAAAAAATGTCGTTGCAACATGTTGAGAAAACCACGCTATTTACAGGGAAAACAGGGTGTGTTTTGCCCGGGGTGATTGAGACGTCGACTTTGACCCACGGCGGAATATGCGCCGTGGACCTGAGTAGTTTCCCTGACCCGTGCCTGATTGAGGTTCCTTGGGCGACGGTCAGAATGGGAAACGTGGGTGTGCCCTTTCAAAAAAAGCGGCGGTCGTTTTCTGGGTTGCTTGCTGTTGGGACACCAATTCGGAGAAACCACCTTGTGTTTCTTTCTTGGGTTTGGGAAGGGGGCCGGGGGGGGGGAACTCCCAGTTCTCTGCTTTGCTTGTTTCCTGAGTTCCTGGAGTCTAAGCTTTTCGAAGATCAATGTAGTGGCAAGCAAAAAGGTCAAAGCTTTTCAAGCTTTTTGGGAAGATCAATTTAGTGGTAAACAAGCAGTTCAGACTTTTTTGTGGAAGTGAGTTTGACACCCATCCATACTGTGGATGGACCAAATCCTGCACCACGTTGAAACCATGGCTGAAACCATTCTTTGTTGGTATTAAACCGCGGAATCATCAGAAACCAGGTGCGAAATGGACTTCGTAACCATCCACAGTAGGACCCCGAGAAATACCATCCAACTGGTGGTTTCTTTGATTCGGGAATCCTTATAGGTTCGTTCCAACTCATTCTCTACTGCAGCAAGAAAACGCGAGCAAAGCATGGGGCTAATATTGAAACGTATGGTTGTGTCTTCGTTTTTTTCGTCTTCTTCCGCACCATTGTTTCTATGGTTGGATCCCAGTGAAGAAGCGGTCTTTGAATCGCATGTTGGCCACCCCATCCGTTTGGGGGGTTTTCGGTGGAGGTGAGCTTGCCATTCTGGTTTTTGGAGACACCATTTTGGAGGGTGTTTTTTCATCGCAGGAGGTGTCTCGGCAGCTGGCCGACCCCGCGCTGCTGGTCCCGGAAAGGGACCTGCTGCGCCAGGCGGCGGCCACCCGTTGGAGCTCGGGGGGGGAGGGGTCCACTGGGGCAGGGGATCCTGCCAGAAGCGTTGAAGTCTGGAAGGCAGGGGCTGACACATGGTTGATATATATATATATATGTATATATATATATGCTATACATATATATATATATGCTATACATATATATATATATGCTATACATATATACATATGCTATATATATATATGCTATATATATATATATATCTATATGTATATGCTATTTATGGTCCCGTGTTCCGTGTTGCTACCCCCCCCCTCCCCCCTCCCCATATGGTATGGTTTCCCAGGACCCCCCCCCCCCCCGGCCCGAGACCCCGAGCCTCCGGATCCTGGCACCTACGGTCCCACCCCCACCCCGAACCCCCTCAACTCGCACCCCGACACCCCGGCACCCCCACCCCCAGGACAAGCCAACCCGCAACCAACCATAAACCAACCCTAACTAACCCTAAACCAACCCTAAATACACCCTAAACCAAACCCTAAACTGTCTTTAAACCTAAGCCAACCCTAAATCAACATAAACCAACCCTAAACTAACCCTAAACCAACCCTAAACCAACCCTAAACTAACCGCAAATACACCCTAAACCAATCCCTAAACAATAAACCCTAAACCTAAACCAACCCTAAACCAACCCTAAATACACCCTAAACCAAACCCTAAACCGTACACCTCTAAACCTAAACCAACCCTAAATCAACATAAATCAGCCTAAATCATCCCTGAACCAACCCTAAACTAACCCTAAATACACCCTAAATATACCCTAAACCAATTCTAAACCAACCCTAAACCACCACAACCCAACCACAGGACCACAACCACAGGGGGGGGGGGGGTACTTGTCTGACCCATGACCATTGGGGTGGGAGGGGGGGGGGGGGCTGGCAACGCTGTACCATATATATATATATAGGTTGTATTTGCCGTATGTTATTGAACAGCAGCAAGTCTGAACTGAACTGCCGGGGCGCAAGTCCGGAGCATACACCACCCTGCCATTGAGAAGAAAGTGTTGGGGCCTGTTTATGCATCTTTTGCTGCAGAATTGGGGTGTCTTGCTTGAAGGGGTTGCGAGGACTTACACATGACCAATATATGTACCCACATAAATATAATATGTATATATATATACATACACATATTTAATATATATATATATACAAATGCTATGACTTGTGCAGCTGGACATTTGCTGCCGCGTCTTCCTCTGGCTTCTCTTCTTTTGTTTCTCGGCAGGTGGCAGAAGCGCGAGAGCAGGGCAGCTGGGTGAGCCCTGCGCTGACGGGGCTGGTGGCCGCGCTGCTTGACCGCAGCCGGGGTTCAAACCCCAGACCCGGGTTTTTGCGGAGAACCTAGGTCCCCCAGCTAGGTACCCCCTTCTCACCGTTTCTTTTTTGGGTTGGGAGGGTTTCCTCAATTACTAAAATAGACTACAGAAAAAGTTGGTACCAACTTATTCTAACCTCACTACTGGAGGACCAAGGAGCCGTTGTTAGTCGGGGAGCAATCACCCGGCTCCAGCCAGTTTGAACAGGGGCGCGAGATAACATGGAGGTGATAGGGTCGCGTCGCTTTCCAAGCTGCAAGTGGCCCAGCGAGTCGGGATTTTCTGAACGGAGAGTTGCCGTGAGCTCCGCGTGTGTTTTTTTTTTGGGGGGGGATGGGATGGTGGATGGTACGCTCTTTGGGGGGGGTGGTGTTCAAGGGGAAAAGGAGATCCGCCGATTTGGCGGGTCCCCGATTTTGTGGACAACATTCAAATTCAGCTTCCTTCCACTGGGCTTCGGGGGGAAAGCCGGAGAGGGGCAATCCAAGCCCACCCACCAGCTCCTGCCGTTCTTCTTTCGGGGCCCAAGGTAACATGGCTGTGGGTCAAAACCAATGGTACCATGTTGGGGTGGGTGAATTCACCACCCATTTTAGCCGAGATTTTAGTGGTTGGGCTGGGATGTTTACTGGTACGGTTTGGCTTTTGACCCAGGGCCAGGAGGGCCGAAAACGCGGTTGGCAAACGGGAGCCATCCAAGCCCCTCCGCCTTTCGGCGGCTGGGAGGTTCACCAGCGCTTTCGCAGTGAGTTTGGCTATGGACCTGGTGGAGGGCGGAAATTTGCTGGAGCACCTGAAAGCGGAGGGCCGGATGCCGGCCGCCGGGCGCCAGGAATTTCAGCCGGGCGATCCATTTGGAGCCATGGGAGTGGTTGGGAGGGAGGTGTGTTTTTTTGTTTTTTGTTTTTTTTTTAAAGATCGGCTGACTTGATTTTTCCTGTTTGGGAGGTGGTTTTGATAAGCCTGCTGTGGGCGAAAAAGGGGATCACAAAATGGAGTTTTGTTTTGTTTTTGTTTTTTTTCTCCGGCCGCTTTGCCTAAAAAACATGATGCCCTGTTCTAGGGTGAATTGAAATGCCAGGTTGCGCGCTCAAAAGTTGACTTCCCTTCGCGTGGATTTTGATTGGGAAATATATAGGGGGCGTTGATCCCAGCGGATCCCGGCTGACCCGAGGTCGGGATAGCCAGCAAACCGATGCCGCGGAAGCCGATAGAAGCGCCCCCAGCAATTGTTGTCCATGGGCCGGTAGATATTTCTTTTGCCAGCTTCCCGGACTGTTGAGCCCAATGGCATTTGCTTGCCGCTGGAGAGTCAGATTGCCTCGTTGATCATGCCTCTCTTGGTTTCCACTGACAGGCGGCCACAACAAAAAGGATTTTCTCTTTGGTTTTGCTTAGGCGAGGGCAAGACGCTGATTTCAAGACTATTGCTGGCCATTTGTTTGCCATGAACATATATACATACATACATATCTGCGTGTGCGAAAGAGTCTTGCTTGACTTTGCCTCGCCTTCATCTTTGCGTTGCTGTGGGTTGTTTGCTTTGGCTGATCTTGCTCGCTCTTGCTGGTGTGTTGAAGCTTGTTTGCTTGTGAGACTGTGTTTCTGTCCGTCTAGTGTAGGAGAAGAAGGTGTTCTGCAACTATAGCGCGTTTGTTGTGCAACCTGAAGGAGCTTATATTTGTGTAGGACCCTCACCCACATCTGCCCTCCCATGACTGGTAAATGTGTGTCTAGAGACTCAACCGGATCTTGCTCTCCCACCAAACAGGGCAGTGACCCTTTGAAGACTATGTGAATCCCTCACTGATCTTAGCTTTGTAGAGTTGAGTGGGCTGCAAAGACCGAAGGTGTCTGTTTATGTACTAGAACACGGGGCAGGACCCAGCAGGTGACACCAAGGTGACACCAAGGTGACACCCACAAAACCTGTAGCGCACCCCAACAAATAACCAGGTCACCACCCCAGAAAGACAAGCTGTGAGCACCCCCCCCAAAAAAAAAATCAAACAAAAAACATCGGGAACATCCCCGCCTCTCCCCGCGCCGTTCCCGTCGCCCGGCTGAGGCTTTTCGCGTGGAGCGCTACGGCGCGGAGATCGCCTCAGCGCTGAAGTGGCTCCACGGGGCCGGGTGGCTCTACCGGGACCTGAAGCTCAGCAACGTGATGCTCTCCCTGAGCGAGGCGACGCGCGCGAACAGCGAAAAAAACGGAAGCGAGCGAGAGAAAGGCGGCGAGAGAAGCGACGAGATGCCTTGGGCATGTATGAGTCCAGTTGGTAGATGAACTGGGCTAGGGGTTGGGAACACATGGGGTTGAGGGTAGGGGTAAGGGGAGGGTTGGTCGTGGTTGGAAAGGCATTGTGAATAGATCAGCACTCACGTCGAACCCATTATGCCTTGTCCCAAAATCAGGGAGCCCAACTTAGTGCCCTTCGATTTCCATTTTTCAACTGCCCCCAAAAAGAGTGAGCATCTTCAAAATCACCCTCAACGGACCCCCCGCCAAATAGATTGAAAAAGCCCTGAAACTGCAACCGCAAGGCTCCCAGAAGTGCGTGGCTTCCATTTATTCGTGGCTTCCCTTGTTGAACTTCCAAAACGCCCGCTCGAACGCTCCCTTGTCGACCCAGGGTGTGTCTGTTTTGTTGGGAACATGGTTCGTTCGTTAGATAACTTTTAAAAAGGACACGTGGCGAAAAAAACACGCCTTTGGCCCAGTTTGGGGCTCCAAATTTCGCCTCCCATATTATTATGTTATTTTTATTTATTTTATTTTGGGGGGGTCGGTAGAAGCTCCCATTGTGGGGCTCCAAATCTCCCCCCGCCCATCTTTTTTCCGTATTTTTTTTGGGGGGGGGATGGTGGACAACTTTTCTCCTTCGTGGGTCCCAGTGTTCGGGGCGCCCAAACTCTCTCTCCAAAAACCCGAGTCTTCCGCCAGGAGTCGCTGGGGCGGGTGAAGCTCATCGACTACGGCTTCGCCTTCCGAGGCCTCGAGGCCTCGAAGGCGGTGGGCACCCTGCAGACCATGGCCCCCGAGGCGCGCGCGGCCGCGGTCGAGCGAGAATTTCTCCGAGTGGAGTCGACGCAAAAACGTCGCCGGGCGAGGGGGGGGGGGGGGTTGGGGGGGGGTTGCGGGGGTTGGCGGGTGAGGTTGGGGGGGGGTTGGGGGGTGAGGTTGGGGGGGGTGGTTGAGCGAAAGCTTAAGGCTGATCGGCGGGAAACTGGGTGTTTCCCGGCCATTCCCCGAGCTTAGCTTTTTAGTCATCAGTGGGGATTTCCATTAACCCAAAAGCTAAACTTTTTGCGGGGGATCTGAGGACATCCCAAGAAGGAATGGAATGAGCTCTATAAACCCTCGCTTGAGCCAAGACTTGGCTGGTTCTTGGGATCAGCAGGGAATGAGAAATGGACATGATTGAGTGATCTCTATAAAGAAACCATCCCCCTATGGTTTCCTTTAAAGGAATCCTCGCTTCGGGGATTTTTTTCTTTTTTTCTTCTTCTTTTTCTTTCGGGTGATGTGTGCAGGGGTTAGAATTAAACTTGCAAATGTTGGCGCACGTTCTTCGATTCTTTAGGTGGTGTGCAGGTGGTAATTAGAATTACACCCAACTTCCGGCGGCAGATGTTGGCTCGTATTTTTCCGTTTTTTAGGTGGTGCCGCGCAGTTTCACCCAGGAGGCAGGTGTTGGTTCGTTTGTGTGGGTGCTTTGCAGCCAAGAAGTGGGAGTGTTTGATCCTGGGTGCAACTCCCATAGAAGCCGACGACGGCGCATGAGTTTTTGATGCGCCTAGCCGGAGGTGATTTGCTGCGCACGGGCAGCTTGGAAAGAGGAGCTGCAATTGGATTTCCTTCCCTCCAGCGCCCTGGTCTGAGACCTGAAGATTGGATTGAACCAGACCACGGCCCCCCTGAAAAGGGGAAACTAATCTTTGTTTAGAGCAATCCGGTTCCTTTTTTTTTTTTTTTACTGTTCTAAGGACCGCCAAGAAGCAAACATGTTTGTATAAACAAGGTGCAAGGCCCCATTCTCGTCACCCGTCCTGGATCTCAGTGTTCTCATCCTTGATCCCTGGTTTGGGTGCCATTTTCTGAGAGACGGACCACTGAACAGACTGGGGAGGGTCTGGCTAGATGACGTGCGTTAGAACCCCTACCGGTTGATGGAACTGGCGCTGGTCCCAAGCCTTCCTTTGATGTGGCGACCTTAACCGTCCCTGGACCATCCCTCGTGTTTTTGGATGATTCGCTTTCAGTCTTAGCGATATTTTTGCAAACAGACCTCAGTTGGGGTTCTCGGTTCATGGATCTCTGCGTGTGCAAGAATTCTATCTCTCTCTCTCTCTCACACCAGTGCATATCAACCCCTGTATTTACCTATCCAAAGAAGGCCAACTTCAATATGCATGGAAAGCACTTTGAGCGCCTCAATATGTTGTTTGCCTTCACAACGCACACCACCATGGGCAGGTCTCACACCATAGGTCTATGCACCTCTCAGCATGCCAGCCAAAAGCCTCAGTCAAGGGAATTACCGAGAGCAGCGAACCAGCGGTTCTCCAGCTGTTCGCTGGCAAGTAACAGCTGCGGCTTGGGGAAACAAGTAGCCAGAAGGCAATTGGCTAAGAAGAACACGACACAACGCCAACAATTGCATAAGCAGACAACTTGAAGCCAGGTGGAAGTGGGGTGGGCAAATGCTTCAATACTTTGATTTGAGTGGCTCGGCAAGGTATTCTTGGGGAACCTGCATGGCACTGGTTCCCCGGCTGACCAAACAAGCAACATCATTGAGAGCAGACGTGTGCACATTCCTCAACCAACCAACCAACCCACCCACCCACCCACCCACCCACCCACCCACCCACCCACCCACCCACCCACCCACCCACCCACCCACCCACCCACCCACCCACCCACCCACCCCACCCACCCACCCACACCCCCACCCACACCCACCCACCCACCCAACCCACCAACCCACCAACCCACCAACCCACCAACCCACACACCCACCCACCAACCCACCCACCCCACCCCACCCCACCCCACCCACCCCACCCCACCCCACCCCACCCCACCCCACCACCCCACCCCACCCCACCTCACCCCACCCCACCCCACCCCACCCCACCCCACCCCACCCCACCCCACCCCTCCCCACCAATTCACCCACCAATTCACCCACCCACCAATTCACCCACCCACCAATTCACCCAGCCACCAATTCACCCACCCACCAACCCACCAACCCACCAACCCACCAACCCACCAACCCACCAACCCACCCACCCACCCACCCACCCACCCACCCACCCACCAACCAATCAACCAACCAACCAACCAACCACCAACCAATCAAACTTAAGTATTCCGAGGCCAGGGACACCTGAGGTTATGGGCCAACCAGGTAATTGGAGGGTAGTAAGGGACACTTGCAGCCCTAAATAGCTGCGGCAAGCTTCTCAATTCCTTCCATGGTTCTGGCTAGACCGTTTTTGTGCCAGGTTTTGATACCCCACCAGCAATCCAGCCAAACTCAAACATTCAACCAGAAAAAAGGGGACTTAGGTTACGGGCCCACAGCCGACTGGTGGTCCCTGGGGGCGCTGCTCTTTGAGCTCCTCGCGGGAGTGCCGCCCTTCGGCCACCACGACGACGTGCTGCTGGAGGGCCGCCAGGCGAGGGGCCGACGCGATGCGGCGAGGAGCCCGGGGTGTTTGGGGCCGAAAAGAACGGCGCCCCGGGCGTGGGCTCAACATGAGAGTCTGCGCGTTTCTTTTTTGGGTTGGAGAAGAGAGCTGTTCGTTTGGAGGGCGCGTTTTTTCTCCCGGTTGGAAGGAGCCTTTTTTGGCGGAGGGGTAGAACCTGTTCTAGTTTTTGGAGCTGGTTTTTAAGGGGTACAACCTGAGCTCCTTTTTCAATTAGGAGCTTTCTATTTTAGGAGGGGTACAGTTGATGTGTTCTCTGTTAAACTGTGGGGACCTAGCAGAATGAGACTGGAATGTGAGGGTTCAGGGCAATGTTGACTCCATATGAATCAACCCCAGTTTACTAATATGGGGGGGGCCCCTCCAAAAGTGGTCTGATTCCCCACTAGTTAATCTGGGGTCAACCAAAATATGGGGTCAACATTAAACAATTCATGTGAGCCACGGTTGCCCGATGGGCAACCTCGGCAAATCAAAAGCTGGAATGCGCTGGCTCCCAAATTGGGTTCCTACAACGTAACCATCATATGGCCATGGGGCATAACCAATGTCTCCACTTTGGGCTGGATGAACCTCCATTTGCCACCTATCTTGATGTTCACCACCGGGTTTTCACCCACAGCCAATACGAACAAACCCCTTTTAATAGGATTTCACGGGATGGCTCCCAAAGCGGGTTCCCACCACCTAACCGTAAAATTAGGGGTAATCCCATATTAGAACAAGCCCCTAAGTGTCCTTTTTGGTCGTTTTGGTAGAACAATAGATGGGTTTTGATCCCTGGTTTACCTGGCGGTTTTTTTCCTCATCTACCAGGGAAACCCGCATCTATTTGCCCCAAAACAACACCTATGAACACTTTTTTGGGAAGACAATTTTGGTGGTAAATATAAAGTTTGGACTTTTTTTGGGCCATCCACTCAGCAAGTGAGTAACCCCATATTAGAACAAGCCCCTTTTCGGAGCTTTCCTGTTTTGGGGCTGGTCGTCCTATGGGAATGCAACTGCTTGAGGTCCTTGAAGCGCAGCTCAAAGGCCCAGAGTGGCCTGAGGATGTGAGCCCCTTGGCTCGAGGGACTGGGGAGGGAAAAGCGCGGGGACCGGAATTCCCTTTGGAACCGGTTCAAGTGGATGTCTCAATTTCCTTGGAAAAGGACCCAAAAAATGGCGATCTCCCTTTCGTTTCCCGTTAAAAAATGGACCCCCAAAATGGCGATGTCCCTTTCGTTTCCCTAGAATCGGGTTGGGCGCTGTAACACCATCATGATAGAAGCAAACTGTTGGTAGCTTTCTAGCCCCTACGCCTCAAAAGTCGGAGGTGGACAACAATCCCCACATAAATGCTGTCCAAGAGGTTCAGGATTGAAGAAAGCCTGCCCATCTTATTCTGGTTCGGCCAAGACTTGCAGACCACCTTCACGCCTCAACTCACGGCTTCTCATCACACAAGGTCTGTATTGCGTCCCACCTTCTTTAGGGTATTGATGTCAGTTATACACATATATATATATACATATATATATATATATATATATCGTAAAACCGGCTCCGGATATGTCGTTTAGGGTATTCATGTTTGTTTCTTTTTTGTTCCCCGTAAAACCGGCTCCGGAGATGTTGTTTGTTGTCTCTGTTTTGCTGTAAAACGGCTCTCAAACACCGAAACCTCCATGGTGAGCAGGGTTCGAGCAGGGCACCCTTTGCAAGCGGCTCGTTGTGGCATTTGCGACCAGCTTTGGGGGAGTTGTCTTTGGCTAGGTCCCCCAGTAGTGCCCTTTCTCACCCTTTTCTTGGTTTGGAGGGTTCCCCTGCGAAAATAGACTGCAGGAAAAAAATCGGGTACCCTTACTGTATTCTAATCTCTCTACTGGAGGACCTAGTGGGGCCTGCGAACTCACCTCGCAACGAGGTGAGGCGGCCAAAGGTGCCGCTTGCGGTTTGCTGCGCCTGGAGCCCTCACAGCGCCGCTGGGAGGAGGTCTCTTTCAGCGAGGGGCCAGGCGAAGAAGTCGATGGCAGTTCTCACTGTCTTGCGAGCATCGCCAGGGGATGTTTGTTGCCATCCATAGTGAAACCAAGGAATGGTTAGACAGAGGATCGGATCATCAGAAGTGCAGCCAAGGCGAATTTGGGGAGAAGGCGAACTTTGGAAGGGGACAACGGCCCAGGTTTTGTGGGTCTCTGTTCTGATTTGTTCCACTTCCCGAGTTTTTGTTTTGTCTTTAATACTTTTTGGGCTTGGACCATCTTAGTGGAAACAGTTTGGACTTCTTTTTGGGCCATCCACGCGGGAAGTGAGTTTCCCAGAAAGAGGATAATGAGTCTCAACTGTACACGACAAACCTGACTTCTGTTTGGAGTGTGTTGCGGAAACCAAGCGGAAGCCACATTTTTGGTCGAACCGATTGGTTCCCTAAATGGTGAGCAGGCCCTGTCCCACCCAGACTCCTTTAGACTTTTGGTTTTTTAGCTTTCAGGTGTGCGGGGCATTTCAGACAAGCTTCTCAAATTTGGGCAAACTGTGATGTTTCATCGCAAGAATTGTCCCTATTTCAGAGATATGTGCCCTGAATCGGCCAAAAACGAGATGCCCCTTTCGACCCAGGATTTCTCAGCTCGTTGAACAATGGATCGATGCCTCCAGTTTGGAGGGAGCCTTCACTGTTGGGGGGAAGACGCCCAAGACTTCCAAGAATCCACCAGGTCGAACCCCCCGCCATCCCCCGCCATAAAATACACCAGAGCGTGGACCGCAGGTTTTCCATGTTTCCGCTTGCCAGGGGCAACCCATTTTCGAATATGGAAACCACAAAACAAGGGGATGGTTCAACTCAGGGTCCCATCTCATTCCCATCTCTCGCACCGAAGGCCAGTTGACCTTGCCCCTAGGCACATATCTCCCCCTCCCCCCCATACCCCCCACACCACACCTTCCCCCCCTTAAAAAAGGGAAAAACAAACCAACCAAAAAGAGCAAGAACCAAAACAAGCAAAGCGACCAAAACAAGAATCAAGTGTAGAAACACCTTTGGCCCCCCAAAACCTTATTTTTTCGCCCCCCCCCAAAACTCACACAATAAGAATGGCCGCCGTGGCCCCCAAAAACTCACCGACCTTTCGGCCCCCCCAAAACTCACCGAATGGCCGCGGCGCCAGGGCTCCCGGTCCGCGGGGACCTGGGCTTCACCGTGGAGAGCGCCGCCGCGGCGCGGCTGCGGCCCCGCCGCGGCGCGGCGCTGCCCATGGCACTGGAGGCGGGGCCAGGGCGGGGGCCAGGGCGGGGGGGAGGGGTTGGGGGGGTGGGGTGGTTGGGGGGGGGAGTGGTTGGGGTAAGGGAGAGGGGTGGTTGGGGTGGGGGGGGGGTGGGGGTGGCTTGGGGGGGTGGGTTGGGGTGGGGGGGTGGGGTGGTTGGGGGTGGGGGGAGGCAAGTTGGTTGACTTTGTGATGGGCTTATGGGCCCAAAAGGGCAAAGAAATGAGAAACATGGGTTCCGAAGTGGTTCTTGTGGTTTTAACATGGCGATTCTATATTTGAAGGTGGCTCAACTTGTGCTTGTATATGAATATGAAGTGATCCCGAAGCGGGGGGGAGAGGGTATGATGGAAAGGTGTGTTCTCAAAACCAAGCTAAAGGGTGGCCTCGTAGGAGTATGGTTGGGTGTGTGTCACAACTTGGATTTGGACCCCGCCATGGAAACCCAATCTTCTTGCTTGCACGTGTCCACGGCACGGTCGGTGATTTCTTGTCCCTGCTTTGGGCGGTTTACTTTACTGAGCATGTTTTTCTTGAGGGTGCCCTTTTTTGGCCTTTTCTTGAGGGTGCCCTTTGTTGGCTTGCTTTAGAGGAAAACCAATGGGAACACCATCATTTCGGAGGTCCTCTATTTGAAGACACACCCAAAAACCTTTTCGGCCGAGGTTGGTTAAGTGCCTTTCGGGCCACTTTTGCCTTCGGCGCGTTTTGCGGCGGCATAGTGGGTTCCCTATTTTTTGATGGATTCCATATCTCCATTTTACGCAACTGTGTGATGCGGTTGTTCCCCGGTTTGGACCATTTTCCTCTTACGGAGGGCGTTATTAGTTTCCATGACATGGATGCGTCCAAGGGCATGGTCAGAGTTTTTGCAGCCCGGGCGAGGCTCCCAAAACTGGCACCACTTGCATTGGGTTTGGGGTTCCGGAACCCCTTTCGGGGCCGGAGGGTTTTCGAAAAGAGAGAACAAAGCGCAAACATAGGTGTCCTTTTTGGTTGTTTTGGTAGAAAAATAGACCGCCCTGGTTTACCTGGTGGTTTATTCATCTACCAGGGCCATCTATTTGCCCTAAAAGGACACCTACGACCGCCAACGTCCTAATTTTTTGGCATGTTCCGAGGTGAATCGGCTGGCTTTTTTTTCTTTTTGTCGCACCAGGGGCCAGATCCCTTCGAAGACTGGTGAGCGGGGCCGTTGCAGCTTCGCCTGGCGCGAACAATGTGGGCCATGGTCATATCTGCAACGGAATGGGAATGCTTTTGTCTAAGAGTCCTTTCCTTGGGGTTGATGGCCATCCCCAACCCCAAGCACAATGGAGCTTTGCACCATCCGCGTGTTTACTCAGCCCAGCGTTTGTCGTTTTGTTTTTGTGGTCTTGGCACCTCAGGTTCAGCGTGTGCACGAATTGATTGCATCGTTTCATCAGTCCGCTACGGCCGAAGGGCGGTGTTCTTTTGCCGCAAGACTCGGCCGCGCAACGCGCAACGCGCAACCCAAACGGCGGCCGAACAGCGGGGGCATGGGCCAGAACCAAAAGCTGATGGTGCTTGGGGGAGAGAGGACTTTGGTCGGGAAGAGAAGCGCTCCACGGTTTGTCCTATGGTTTTGGGCAGCTGGGAGTGAATTGGATCTTTGGCACAAGGCCGGAGGCGAGTTTGTGGCGAAAGTGGCAGCTGGGTAGGCCTGCTCTGGATGCCCTGCTTGATTGTTTACTTCCTCACCGTTTATTTGATTTGCTTTGATGCTTGGCTTTTCTTTGGCCACGGTACATCAAAGATCCAGGTCCGCGAAGAATTCTAGTTTGAGTGCATATGACATGGGGGCAAAAGCGACTCAATTGGCCTTTGGTCGGCCCCCGAAGCGGTCTTGCTTCGACCCGCAAGGGGAGACAGCTGTCCTCGTTTTCGCGATGCCTGCAAATTGTGTACCACTAGAGCCGACTCGGAATACGGCTATGTTGCGGACTTGAAGTGGCTTGGTTTGCACGCGTAGATGGCCTAATGGCAGGCGATCTATTGCTAGGGCCCAACGAGTGTGTCATGTTGTGAGCCTTGAATACACCTCTCCCAGCGCATTGAGTCGCGCGGGCAATTGTGAGGCATGCGAAGCAAGCTCAGCTCGCTCGGTTGCTCGAGTGGCCACGCCATGGCCAGCCCTTAGGGCTCTGAAGCCGCCACCTCCGCACCTTTTGGCCAGATGAGAGCGGCTCTACGATTTCTGGTGGGGCTTTCCTCTGCTTACTTCGCGCTTTCCCTGGTCCGTTGCTTCGCGGGGCTCGACGTGCGGAGGACCGCGGCGGAGTCGACGAGATTCGCGGGGGACGCTGGCCGCGTGTCCCGGCGGTCGCCGTGGCGTCGCTTGCAGAGGTCGGCGACAGAGACGGTGGAGCTGATGCTGGGCCAATATTTGGCAATGTCTTGCAAGTTGGTGTCCCTTTCAGTTTAAGTGGCGGTTGTAGGAACACACCATAAACAAGCAATCAAACAATCAAGCATATCAATTAATCAATATACATGTATATATATGTATATATATGTATACATATATATATATGTAGATGTATACACGGGGTGGCGGACGAAACACTGAGGATAGAAGTTGATGTCAAGAAGGAGCCCAAAGTGGGAAGCGCCCTGGACAACAGCGAGATCGTCAAGCGGGCCAAGAGGGAGGCCTTGCCTTTGATTGCAAGCACGCCGGTGGAGAACAGCCGCTTGGCTGTCAGCAGAGTTTCCCTTTCGCCTTTTGACCCCGCGAAAATTTTCAGAGATCTCCCAGAAGTGTAAGGACGCCTCTTCATTTCTGATGCCAAACCCTACCCCCTCTCCCACGCTTATGGAAGTGGACCGGAGAGCTTGGAAGACTATTATTTTCTTAAAAGGGCCTCCTGTTCACCTTCATTTTCAGGAGGCCACCTTCAGTGTCACAGGCCACCTCTCAGGTGTTCGAAAACTAGCAGGCGCCACAAAAGAAATGCCGCAAGAGAGTGCTCCGCGTTTCTCTAGCCTTTTTGGGAGTGCGGAGCTCCCTGCAACATTTTAGACAGGACCAAATAAGTCTTGCCCGTGGCGCGCGCATGGCAAGCATGCTTGGTGAGCCGAAACCAGTCCTCAAAGGGAATCCGCGGTACCTGGATGTAGGAGTTGGTGTGTATGCTGTATGTTCGTTCAGGGCCAAACCAAAACACCCAGAAAGGTCCGAACCAGGCCGGCCTGCGGGTCGTTTGCACTCGAAGCAGAGTGAAGTTCAGCTGGCCCTGTTTATGTCTTCTGGGATAGGGACAGGAGATGATGCCAACTGGACTGACGCATAATTTCAGGACAACCTCATATTCTGAAGATGTTGCCTGGCTCGTGATACTGTGGATGGACGCAATGCACCACCTAAAAAGCCATAGGAAGCCATTGCTCGTTGGCATTTACAGGGAATTGTCATTCCAGGCTTCTCAGGTGGTGCAGGATTCCATCCACAGTATTGCCGGTGTCAATGATGGGTCCGCGCGAGATGAAGGCGGAACCTGACTGGCTTGGGCTTGCCCAAAAGGGAATTGATGGATTTCATGGCAGGAGGTGAAAGGAAGCCCCAAACCGGCGGTAACACCCGAGTCTAACTTGTGTCAAGGACACTTTTTGCTCGACCGCATGTCAGACCCCAAGGTGTTGGAGGGTTGGTTTCTCTTCTCATTGACATCCTTCAGTTGTATCTTTGTTCAACCTGAGCCCTGACTTGGCAGGCGGTTTCTGGTTTTCATTCGCACCCCCCCCCCCAACCTCCGCGCGCGGACTGTTGGCTGGCTTCGGGTTCACCAATTCCTCAGGAAAGCTGCGGGCCGCGATCGAATCCATCGAGCTGGATCAGGAAGCTTTGCGCGTGTCCTCTCCCTTGCTCCTCGATGTGAAAGCAACTGTGTAATGTTTAGCTGCAACCTGCGGGTGTCGAGTCGCTTGCTGGCCGAAGGCGTGTTTGCAATTGGGCTTTTGCTTGGGTATTTGTGGTTTTGTATGCGTAGCATTTTGTTTGTGGTGTTTCTGCGGTTTGGTTTGGCAGTGTGCTTTGTGTGTGTGTGTGGTGTGTTTTTTTGGTCTAGTTTTTGCTCTGTGTTGTTTTCTGCGGTTGTATGCTTTGGTTTGTGGTGTTTCATCTTCATTATGCGGTTGTTGTGCTTGTTGGCTGTGTGATATTGTTTAGTGTTTCTTTAATTATTTTTGTTATTTGCTTAGTCGGTATGGTGTGTTTTGCTTGGTAGCCTTATGGGCCGTTATGAAAGGATGCTTATGCCTGAACAAAGGTGGCGGTTTGTCCCTTGAACGAACTTGCGAGTTCTCAGTAGGGAATCGAGAGCCGAGGAATTTTGCCCCATTTTGGGATTTTTCCCCGTTTTGGGGTTCCTGAAGGACACCGCCAGTTGGACGGTTTTTGTTGGGGTCACTCCAACTCATTCCCTGCTTACCAAACCTGTCAGGAGGCAAACATGTTCAACCACTCAGTACGTTGTAACTATGGTATGTTATGGTTATACATGGGACAACACTTGTCAATTTGTGGCTATAGAGAGCCATGGTTACAATTAACGTACTTAATGGGATCAGCATCCCAAGGAGTTCCCCCCTTGAAATTAAAAAGCAAAAACACGCAAACACAACACCACCACGCACCACGGAAGTCGCCTCCCTTTGTCGACTCGCCTCACCGCGGATTTGTCTTTTTCGGCTTTTCCAGTGGCCGCGGGGGGGCCTCGGGGGAGGTTCTCCTTGAAGACGTTTCTGGCGACCAGCTCCGCGGCCACGGTGTCCATGGTGGCCTCGCTGCTCTCCTCCTCCCCGACCCTCTTCATCCTCATGCCGCCGCGCGACCCGCGAGTGAGGGCACGCGGAACGGCAGGGCGCAAGTCCGTTTGTCCGTTTGGGGTGTCGGCATGCCGATATTGGCATTCCGTGTTCCTTTGTAAATTCCTTTCAATGTCTTTTTGAATTCCTTCCCATTCCTTCTTGGATTCCTTTCAAAACAATTGTTTTGGCCCTTCAAGTATTCGACTTAGAGTGCAGATCGGATCTGGGTTTACCTTCAAACCCATCTAAAACGGGGTCCTTTTTTAGATTGCCGGGCCGTATCTTTCGATTGACACGTCAATCTAAATGTTTCCTAAATTTGAACATCGGGAGACCTCATATCAGATTGGATGTCCTAAAATTGAACGAGCCCCTTTTAGATGGTGTTTCAATCCCCAAAGGAAGTCCTTAGAGAAAACACCTAGCTGCTGTAGGCTATGGGTTGTTGGTACATTGTTAAATTCAATGATTGCATCCAGCAGACAACCGCCCATGTCTGGCGCGCAAAGTGTCGCCTGCAGGTTCCATGTCAGCCCGTGTCAAAAAACTGCTGTGAAACCCGGAAGCACATTCCTCCTTTCATATTACTTTGTTGGGGACTACCTCCACGATTTGTTTTACTTGGTGTCCCTGACGTGGCGATTTGGGGGAGCATTCATCAGGCCAGAAACCCTCACTGTGGGTTTCTCCGAGCTGCCCCAGACCATTCTGGGTAGGGTGCGCCTTATGACCAGCCCGGCCAACCGCACCCTAGACTCTGAACCGATTCGTTGAGCTGAGATCTCTGACGACGGTGATCTTCTTGTACTCCTCGCTGCCTCTCGGCGGATTTGGCGTCGCATCGCTCAGCGATTTGCGAGAGCTTGGGGGTGCGAGAGCTTGGGGGCCTGGGGCGGCCTGGGGGCGTTCGTTCATTGGGGGTGGGGGGGGGGGCCCTGGATAATTAGGGGATGTCAGGGCATGTTATTGGATTGGTTGATGATTTTGCCTCAGCTTAAGGGTCACCAGAACTAAGATAGGAAGCTAGACAGACGCCTGTTCTTTGGTTCAAGCCACCCATTTCTTGGTGTCCCCTGAGCCATGTAGCATGGGGAGGACGCTTTGTGAAGAAGTAGCACGTGTTGCGCAAATTGCAGCAGGTCTGGGCCAAATGACATGATCTTCGGACGGGGGAAAGGCAGAGGTGCCTTCTTTTGTCAGTTGGTTGAGTCATTGAAAGCAGATGGCGGTCGTTGTTCGGATCTTTCCAGCACGAATCCTGGTGCCTTTTGCTTTTTTGCTTGAGTTGTTCCTCTTCACTCCTGCACATCAAAAGTCGTCATATGGGTGTAGAACAAAAAAAATAGCAAAGCTAGGGCAAACTGCAAACTGCAGGTGTTGGTCTTCGTTTCCATTTACGAAGGGGCCATTTTGGGTACCGGTATTCCATTTTTTGACCCGCCGCCATTTCATTGTTGCGCCTTCCAAGGTCTGAGAGCGCGGCAGCGAGATACAAGGCCAACGCCAAGTACAACTACGGGCAGAACTCCAAGTTGGCCGCCACTGCAGAGCCTTTTGGCTTCTGAAAAAAGAAGCGGGGCTCTGTCTTTTTTGGAGTTGGTACCCTTTGTTTGGTTGGTTTTGAAGGGAGAACCGAGAGGAAAACAACCATGTTGGGGGGTTCACCAAAAACAGCGGCCCGGCAGTCGAGTTGGAACTCTTTCCACAAAAAGGACCAGTTCCGTTTTTGGTGGACAGGTAGAAGTAGGAAGTTGAAAACCAGTGCTTTTTGGTTAAACAGGTAGAACATGTGTTTGATTCTATGTTGAAGAACACAGCAAAAGGGGAAAAGCGATGCGATGGACGGACTTGTTTTGTGCCTTCGACTGCCTCCAGTGGAGTAGATGGTTAGCTGTTGTTTGGGGGGGGGCCAATGCAACCGGTCAGGGTTCAAGGAGGTCCTTTCTCAGTCAGTTGCCAAAAACCTCGACCAAGGTTTTGAATCGCATGCGCTTGGGTTTGTCTCAAAATAGGCACAGCCCCTAAGATGGCGAGTGCTGTGCTCTCGGAGACACACAGAGACAATCAACCCATGCACCACTGGCCCACAGGCCAAGTCCGGAGGTGGAGTCTGAGAGTCTGTCATAGGCATGGCCTAAACCGAGATCACCCCTTTGTCGCTGAAAGTCATGTCATTGATCTTCTTGGCATGTAGTGTCCTGAGTGATATTCGTAATCTCAGCCATGGCACTGTGCCCGGCCCAAAAGGTGATCGCCCTTTATCCTAGTGTTCGGGTATGTCCGGAGGTCGGCCATGCAGCCTTTGGAATCAATAAGCAAATCCCCAGTTGTACTGTGCCAGCTATACAGTCCCTTTCGTTTGGCAGGTTCACTACAAGTGGAATTGACCCCCCCGACAAACAAATGGCCCTCTGTTTCCACCAAACTCGGCACAAGTCAACTCGAAAAGTGAATACTTCTTGAGCCTCAAGAGGACAGCCTTCCGAAACCCTCTGATCGTCCACTTCTGTGATGGTTGGCAGAAGGGTATTGGTTGCAACTAGGTTCCCCACACATGGTCAAGCCCAAGTATGGGTCGCTGGTTGCAGCTGGTTGCATCGCGCCAGTTAGGCAGTCCTGCTAGCTGGTTCGTGGGCGTTGTAGTACGGCCGATGGTCAATTGATATATGGCTGTGGCTCAAAAAACCGGTACACAAAATGGAACCCTGGTAAGTGGAAACATGGACCAAAACCTGCGTAACCCCTCCTGTGTAATTTTGAGCCACACTCATATTTGGTGGCAACCTGGTGGTCAACCCAAGGTCACTTGTTGCGATTAATAGCTCACACGTTGCAGCGAAGCGTATTTTTCCCCCGACAGCTGAAAGCTATGAGTCTCTGCCAGCTGCGGAGTGGTCCGCAGCAGCTCTCAACTATCTGGAAGTGTGTGTTTCACCGTTTTTCTTCTTCTTTTCTTTTCGGTTTTTCCAATTTTTCCGTTGTTTGTTGTTTTTTGGAGGGGGCTTACCACCGGGGGCCCCTGATTTGGGTGTGGGTTTCCATCAAAGCCCCTGACCTCCGCCACGCAGCCCACAGATCTCGCCAGAGCCGCGCCGAGGACCAGCCTGGCCATCGCGGAGTCCCGCAAGGCGTGGCGAAGGGGGGTGCGCTGCAGGTTTGGGGGGCGAGTCAGAGAGGGTGTGTGTGTCACTGTGAGTGTCACTGTGTGTGTGTGTGTGTCACCGTGTGTGTGTTTTTTGTTTTTGTTTCTCCCCATGAAATGGATGAAGGGCCCCTCATGGGGTGGGTTGCTTGACACAGGGGCAGGTCCTTTTTTTCTCTCCGGGAAATGGATGAGGTTTTTTCAGAAGGGCCCCTCATGGGGGGTGGGTTTTTTGACACAGGGGGAACAGAGTCAACAGGTCCTTTTTTTTTCTCCCCAGGAAATGGATGAGGTTTTTTCAGAACTGCCCCTCATGGGGGGTGGGTTTTGTGACACAGGGGGGACAGAGTCAACAGGAAATGGATGAGGGACATGGAGAGGCGTTAGTGCATCCTAGGTGGTTGTGGGATACTTTGGCCAAACATTTTTTTTCCACAAAACAGATGGACAAGAGGAACACTTGTCGATGTTTGATTTTGTTGCACTGGGTCATTGTGGATACTTTCGGGGTTGTTGATGTCCAAAGAACGTCGAATGCTCAGAAGATGAGCGGAGCTGAATGGCTGGAGGGTGACTGATCAGGATAGTGGGAAGTTTGATAGGTGTTATGCGGCGTATAAGAATTGGTATGGTGGCTGTTCAAGTCAAAATGAAAAGGGATATATATGTTCCAACTACGGATTCCAGACCCACCTGACGGGGATTACATCTTATACTGCATAATTGTATTGCAAGTGAGCCTTGAAAAGGAAACCTCGAATACGGTGTTGGAAGGTGGTCATGTTTGGGACTGCCATTGAGAAAAGTAGAAGTGATATTTTGCTGGGTGATCCACACTCGTCAACGAAACAAGCTTCGCCAACCGGACCGGGCCCCGCCCAGTCGCCAAAGGCAAACATGGACACCTCCAACCCCCGGTTTGCAGGAACAAAAAGACCCCCCCTCCCCCAAACTCCAAACTTGCCCCAAACCTCCCAACCATAGGTGTCCTTTTGATTTGTTTGGTTGTTTTGGTATATGGGGGCTGTCCGTAATTGCATGTCTAAAACTTATAAACAGCGGCCACTAGTTGAACCGCGCGATTGGGAAAACTCGAGCCGCATTTAGACGCTGCGTGGTGTTTAGATTGTGGTGCCGACGCACGTCTCGCTCATTTTGACTGCACGTGCCCGCACAAAAGTTCCTCCTAGAAAGCTGAATGTTGATTTCGCCCGCGCAGGCCCAGGCAGTGCTTTCTAAATCTGCAAACTGGCAAAGGCCGAATTCCGCGATGGGACCGCGGTTGGACGGCGATTGAACGGCGATTGGACGAGTTTCACCAGTGAGGCCCTGCCCATCCGAGCTACGTCACTTCCTTCCAGTTTCCAGGTATGGATGGACCAACGTTGCTCCGCGACTGGAATCTGTGGGACCGCGATTGGATCGCGATTGGCCGGCGATTGGGGGGCCCCCAGGCAAAGTAATTTTGTACAACCCCCATCTAGAAAAATAGATGGCCCTGGTTTACCTGGTGGTTTAATCATCTACCAGGCCCCCTCCGTCCCAAGCCGCAGGTCTTCTTCCCCTTCGGCGTGGGGCTCACGGCAATCACCGCCGCCGCCTGCGTCACCTTGAGGCGCGAACATGGGGGGGGGGGGGGGTTCGGGGTGGCCCAACTTCTTGCAGAAGGGTCGGTCGGGGGTGGAGGGAAGGAAGTGGTGGGAGGGTTGGGAGGGAGGAAGCGAACGATAACGGCAAACCACCAAGCTTCTAGACTCACACAAAAAGCCTGCCTCCTTCGATGAGTCTTCCCTGCAACAAACTTGGCTCGTGGTCAAGTTGTCGAGGAAGTGAGTATACTCCCGGTCAATCTGCTGGACGCTGGAAACGGCCAAATTCTAAATCCATAGCTTCGTTTCCTAGGACAAAGGCTTGGGGGCCAACTCGAAAACGTTCCACGGCAGGATCTTCAATGAGAAGATTGGGGACTTCATCCCTGAGGGCCAGTCTTTCTCCACGATCCTGGCGGGGGACAACGCGGCTTGGAATGCTTCGTCGGGAGTCCAGGGACCCTGTTGTCTGCTGTATCTCTGGGGGTTGGGGACGCTTTGGGACTGATTGGTCCGCTTTTCCACGCAACTCCACGGGTTTCCCGCCGATCTTTCCAAGAGGACAGGCATGGCCAGCGGAGTTCCCAGGAAGCTGATGCGGTCTGAGCGGCCGCTGTAGGGGCGTCCGATTTGGGGGCGCGATTCTTAAAGATGTCGCTTGATTCCACTGGGAGGTCAACCCCAACCCCGTGAAAGCACCCGCAGGCACGTGACATGTTGTGTCGAAGGCCAGTGATGAGCCGCACCGCATCAATGATATGTCATAGTATTCCATTTGCTTAAGAATATTTTGTTTTCCCCTGTTCGTTTTAGAGGGAATCTATCACTACGTGAAACATGTTTGTTTATTTTTCCAGGGGTCTTTACGCGGTCAATATGGTTTATCCAAGTAGCCAAACATTATAACTTGTTCAAGCCTGTCTTAAAGTCAACACGCTTGCGCAAGCAATGAGAAGCAACCAGAGCCAATGTCACCCCTACATGGCTGAGCTTTGTTCATGCTGCTGCCCATCTTTGGCATGAACGGCCTCTAAAACTGGTTGGCTTCAAGCTGGCCACCTTTGCAAAGCCGCCAACACAAGGATCCGTGGATCGATGCACTAGCTTGATTTCATTCCAAGCTGGGGAATCGCTTGGCATGCTTTTGTTTTGCCGCCCATGGATGGTTGCGACCACTTGCAGGCTTGGAAACACCCAGCAAGAGCTGGCAACCGATGACTAGCTGCTTGCCGCTTTCCCCGGCATGGGGAGGAAGAGCCCCAGAAATGCGTGGGCGACACGTGGTGTTCGGTGAAGCATGAGCTCGCGCTTGAACTCTGAAGGGATTTTTGTGGGGCTCGTCTTCGACCAGACTTGGGAAGCTGGGAAAACAACTCGTTGTGTTTTTTGCCCCCCCCCCCCCGCCCCCCGCCCCGGGGGCTCCACCTGGACTTGAGCAAAGCAACCACGGCACCAACCCGCAACCACAGGTCCCGGCATTTGTTTTTCCAATGCAAAGCCGCTGGGACTCCAGCAATAGGTTCCCCAGACCGCCCCTCTTGGAACGGGAAAAACAAACGGGGCACCCGGCTGCAGTGGATCAATCGGGTTCCCAAACCGGGGGAGGAAAAAGAAAAACGGAACCTCTTGGAACGGGGAAAAACAACAACGGAACCTGACTGCAGTGTATCAAAGGATCAGGTTCCCCAAAAGGCGGGTCTGGTCCCAGGTGGTTCTCATCCTCTTCGCGCTGGCCTCCATGGTGGGAGCCACCCTCACCAGCCTCACCTACGACGCTTGGCGCCGGAGAAAGGGGGCGGGGGGAGGAAGGCCTAGGTCCCCCAGCGAGGGTCCGCCAACGTCTTTTTTGGTTGGGAGGGTTCCCCTACGAAAAAGTTGGTGCCCTTATTCTAACCTCTCTACCGGAGGACCTAGAGGGGAAAGGCGGAAAGGGGGACATGGGGGAGAGGTTGGCCTTTGGCCAACTCATTGAGGGCTTGGTTTTCAAACAATGTGGGCTGCAGATCAACTGGCATGGGCATGCTCCTGTTCATGTTGCCATGGACCCTGACAATGTTGTCCTAATTTGTCAGTTTTCTGTTCGCATGGACTCTGGCGGGTTCGATGTTAGTGGACAGGAGCGTAAGGGAGGAGGAGATTGGGCATCGGTAGCGGGGTCGATGGATCTCCCGGCCAACTTCACAAGTGAGCGGTGCTGAGGGAAGAGGCTTATGCCTATGAAACCTGTGGATCCAAATGGATTTGGGCCCTCAATAAAAACCCGGACGCTGATGTAATATTTCGGCCCTACCGCCCATTTCTGGGGGCCTACAGTAGTTCCCTTTTGGCATATTCTTTGAGTTGTATTTTGTGCCTCAACTTCAATTGAGTTTCTCGGCGTGATGTCAGGCCGCATCCAAGGATTTCTGTGTCTTTGTTGGCATTGTCTTTAGGCAGCCCTCCTTCGCACACAAAAATCCCAGGCGCAGGCGTGGTCCGCCTGGTTTGTTTTCACGTTTCGCGCGGGGAACGCAACGCAACTTCTTGGCATGATTCGCCCAGCGAATCCTCCGGTTCCTTAGGTGGGTTTTAGTTGTTTTTGGTTGGTTTCGTGGGTTGGATCTCCGAATCTCACGGATGAAAAGTCCTTCGCTGGTCGGACCGGCGACTCGAGGTGTCCACGCGTGCGGCCTTGGTGCTGGACGAGAGCATCCAGGCCTCAGCGCAGAGCGACTGGGAGGCGGGGATGTGAGAGGGAGCCAGGAGCGAAGGGAAACCAACGAAGCCAAAACGCGGTGGTTCAACCCTTTTCTTTTCTGGTTGAGAGAGGGAAACGCAAACCTGGTGTTGGGAGAATTGCTCATGGGCTTTCAAGCCTAAAAGGTGGGTTTGTTCAACCACCGGAGTCTCTTGAAAGAGGCAAACCGACAGGTTTTGAAGAGTGGTTCAAGGTTTTCAGCCAGTGCCTTTTGCCGTTTTGTTTTTAGGGGAGGGTGAACCCCCGACTAAAAATTTGGCTACCGAAAAAAGTGGGTACCCTTCTTCTAGCCTCTCCACTGGAGGACCCGGGAAGCCAAAAGGTCAAGACTTGTTCGATCCACTTCTCAGCCGCAGCTCCAAACATCTCCCGCGCCCTGAGGCCACGAGGTTGCCCAAGAGGGCCAAGGAGCCGACCCCTGAGGAGCCGGGGGGTTTTTGGGAGGGGGGATGTGAGAGGGGTGGGGATGGGGCCCGGGGTAGGCATTGGTGGCATGGGTGGCATTTGTGTGTTTGAGGGGGGAGGGGGGTTGACTGGAGCAAAGTGGTGGGTGTTGAGATTGGAGGTGTCCAAGCCGTGCCAGAGGGTCTGACCGGTCCTATTTGCGAGGCCGTATGCCTGAAGCTTACCCTCTCTCTCATCTGGCAGGCCCTGGCACCTCCAAGGGAAACTGATGGAAGCTGATCTTCCAGGTACCCTCCCAGAGGTGCTGTAGGAAGTGTAGGCTGATGGCTCAGGAGGAAAGGAACATCGTCATCGCCACGGTGATCTTCTGCCTGCTGCCGGTGCCATTCATTGCAGCTTGCCAGCAACGTTCCGTGCTGACGACCCAGGGAACGAGGGAATCACCATGAACCATCCCGTGCTTCCTTTGAACTTCGAAGGGATCCCATGCAAAGGGTTTCTATTCCCAAAACCCCTTTGGATTCCTCACCAGCAGGTTTCGCCTGATCAAGCTGCGGCCCCGCATTTCTGTAAGCCCTTCAAACAGGCATGACAAGGCCTGAGGGAAACGCTTGCAGAGAAGGGGCGGCTGGCGATTCTTCTCGTAGGCCGACAGTTTGGAGGCTGGGTTGCAAAATTTTGAGACGCAGCGACTGTCTCAAGGAAGCCTAAACAATTGAATGGGAGCCAAGCCGCAACCAGTCCAAAAGCACGCCCAAAGGTTCAGGGAATGGACCGGGACCCCGACCCCCCTTACCATTTTCAGCTCCCATGTCGCCCACTTTCAGGCGCAAAATGTTTGACTCCCGCCGAGGTGGAGGGCATCGACATGAGCTTGGCGGAGGCCTCAGGAAGACGTCTGAGACAAGGGGAGCCATGGAAAAAGCGGCGGTCGCCGCGCAGATGATGCAAAAGAGTGCGAATCACAAGCAGAGCATGGCCCAAGGGCCGGCTGATGCTTGTTTTTGAACCTTTTGGGGTCGGCATTCAGGACAGCTGTTGAGAAACTCGGACTTTGTCTGCGCTCAGTGAAGAAGAGGAAGTCGGGGATGGTCACACTAGCCAAGGAGCTGCAGTTTCCAAAGGCACCATAGCCAATCTGGGTCACTGAGTCGGGGATGGTCACACTAGCCAAGGCTGAAAAGGCACCATAGCCAATCTGGGTCACTGAGTCTGGGATGGTCACACTAGCCAAGATGTGCCAAGTATGCGAAGCATGTTTGAATGAAATACTCAGTGACTCAGTGGTCCAAAACCGATCTTTTCACCATTTTTACCTTTTCGGTCCACTTTTCGTACAGCTCCCAAGAGGTCCACGGATGATTTCCTCGGGCCCTCGGGGCAAGTCACACGCGGCTCCTTTTGGTGCCGCTCCGAGACTCCGAGGCCGAGACGAACCGCATGCTCTTCAACAAGGCAGGCAGAGCCTGGCTGCGAGCTGATGCGAACCCCGGATTGAGCAGAACCCCTGGTTGAATTTTTATTGGGGGGCGAATCCCCTTTTAGTGGGGATTTTTGGATTCGGACCACTTTTGGAGGGGTGTCCACCCCTCTAAGAATGGGACGGGTTCTACTTAGATCCTGGGTCAACATTAGGGGGTGGTTGGCGCTGAGGTCGGACAGAAACGGACCTAACCGCAAAGGGCAAAAGCCGGTTGGCGCTGATGGGCAAATTGGATTGCAACTAGGACCCCAGTAGTGCCCTTTTACCGTTTCTTTTTTGGGGGAGGGTTCTCCTACTAAAATAGAGTACAAAAAAAAGGGTACCCTTATTGTAACCTCGCCACTGGAGGACCTAAACAACGAACTTATGTGGGGGCTTGGAGAGCCTCCCCCTGGACCTTTACTGGGGGGTTGCCTGATTTCGTGAATCATTGTGATCTGGTACTTTCCGGATCACTGCAACAGATGCGACCAGATGTCCCGTTGCAGCCGTCAAAACGGGTGATCCTAGAATCCGGGGTGGGATCTTTGTATCTCCCCAGAGGGTCCAAGTACCTCCTGAGGATGGCTTTTGGGGGGTAAGAAGGGGTCCAAGTACCTCCTTAGAAGGTACTTGGACCCTCTGGGCTCTGTCCCTCTTTAGAAGGCCATCCAGACGGTTTTTTTTTGGGGGGACCTTTGACGCCAAGACTCGCCAAGAGATAAGGGGCTCTACGGAAGGCTTGCAGGGCCGAGAGCAGTTTTCGACCTCTTCGCTCTCATGCCGACCATTCGCAGGTGATTTTTTTGTTCAATGGAGCCCTTTGTGGAAAGGGAAACCCGCCAGAAACCCACCTTCTTTTCTCTTTTTTTTGAGGGGAGGAGGGGTCCCAAAAAACACCTTTAAACTGGAAAAAAACCTCCCCCCCATTTGTCGAGGGGTCCCCAACTACCACCCACCATTTCTTGAGAGGCAAACCCCAAGTGAGCCACAATCAAAACCTGGGTAGATGAAGGCAAGTAATTGGAGAGTCCCCGCCAGAAACAGCCGCCTTCTGGGTCGAACCTTTTTGATACCGGGTTAGGAAAATCCTTTTAAAATCCTTTATTCCTTTTCCTTTTTTCCTGTTTCCCCTTTTTTGCCTTTTGTTCTTTTTTCCTTTTCCTTTCGGAGCCCTTTTTCCTTTCTTTTTGTTTCTCGATTTTTTCCCAGTGGAGACCTACCTGGGTCCTCGGTCGCGGTCGCAGAACCGGAGAGGCGCTGCAGCAGCTGCTGGACGACGCCTCCGTGGTGATCTCCGCCTCCGCGGCCGCGCAGGCGCGAGTTGGAGCGAGGGCGGGCGGAGGGGAGGGGCAAGGGGGGGGGGGGCAAGGGGGAGATGGGGGGGGATCCCCTAAAAAGCTCACTCCCTGAGTTCCTGGACTTTAAACTTTTTGGGAAGACCATTCTAGTGGTAAACAGAAAGTTTGAACTTTTTTTGGCCCATCAACTCAGGAAGTAAGAAAGGTTCTTCTTCACCCCTCAAGCATCAGGTTTGTAACTCCCCAAAGTCGATATGTCTGAAATTAGACTCGCAATCGGTGCCATCACCAGTCCGATTGTGGGAAACAATTTTGTTCCAAGGATTGGAGGGCGACAACAGCTGCCTAACACTAATGCAAAAAGCGCCATCGATTCGGATTCCGACCCCCTCAATGATCTATTCTGAAACACAGTCCAGTACCTTCAGTGGGGCCCTTCCTCTCTTCTCTAAGATCGGCATTCATCCTTCCACACACCTACCATGACGCATGTCGGGCATGATCTCTGGCGGCGCCTGTTTTGGACACGACGTTTTTTTGCTTTTAGAATTCCAAACCCAAAACCCACCCCAACAAACCCAGCCCCAAAAGCCCCCAGCCCCAAAAGCCCCCAGCCCCAAAAGCCCCCAAAAGCCCCCAGCCCCAAAAGTTCCCAAAAAGCTCAAAAAGCTCACCCAAGCCCCCAGCCCCAAAAGCCGCGCCAAAAGCCCCCAAAAGCCCCCAAACGCCCCCACAAAAGCTCCAAAATCCAACCCCATGAGCGCCAACCGCCCGCCGATCAAAGCCGGAGGCCGCGGTGGCCTTCCTGCTGGGGGAAAGGGACTTCACCGACGCGGAGCAGCGCTGCGCCATGCAGTCCAAGCAGGCGCGAAGATGTGTGGTTCGTCCAAAAAAACCGACACGGTCCCAAAGCAAGCGGCGCGCAAGTGTGTTTTTTCTTTTTTTTTTTTTGTGGCGGGGTTAAGAAAGACGGGGGGTTTGGCGGGGTGGTGTGTTCTTTAATTGATTGTTTTCTTTCTCTATGTGTGTGTGTGTGTTTTTCTTTGGGAGTTGGGAATTTCGGAAAGTCATGTTCGTGGCTTTTGAACAACTGGAGACTAAATGCAAACCACTTGTTTCGTGGTTTGTATTTTGGCATTGGTTTTGGGTGTGTTTGTTTTTGGGATGGGGGTTCCCATATTTGTTGCAAGGAGGAGTAATCCCTTCAGTGGTTTCACACCAGGCCTTTAGTTTGTCTGCTTGCTTGTGTGCGTCGAAGTCCGAAACGCAGCGCCCTTGCGTATTTCTTCTCAGTTTTTTTTCTTTTTTTTCTTCTTTTTTTTTCCGCAAGTTGGAGGAAGCCTGAGGAATCCGCCCACAACATGCGGCGTTCAGAGGCCAACCAGCGGTATGAGACACACCGGGGCAATCGGGCAATCCCATTCTTCTCCGAATATAGTAATATAGGGAGCCCAACCAGCTGCATCACCCCCAACAAGGGACACTCACCTTTCATAGGCCAAAAAGGTGATGTTTAAAGCCACCAAAAGGGGAAATATAGGGAGCTCTGAGAAGCTCCATCGAAGTCAGGTCACAAAACACGGCTCGAACAATGCCCTTCCAGCCCCCAGAAATGGGGCAAGAGGGGCGAATGCGCCCTGAGCTATCGGCTTATCGTGGGACCTTGTCGGCCGGGGCTGCGCGGGGCTTCGGCTGGACGCCAGGCGGCGCTGGCGGAGATGTTCTGCGCGCAAGCGCAGCAGGAGGCCGCCATCATCCCGGCAGCCCGGCTGATCAGCCGGAGACAGTTGGAAACAAAAGGCAGCGCCTGGCCGTTTGTGTGTTTACTAGTTGCGTTGTTTGTTTTGACTTATGATCGTGTATCAAGAGCAAAGGAGAGCGATTCGCCATAATTTAGGTTCAGGATCTCTTAAAGTATTGTAGAGTTGATGTTGGGGGGGGGCCCACTGGGGGCGCAACAGCATGCAGTTGTGGGTCAGTTTGGTGTCAGACAGAATGGAACTGGTTTCAATTCGATTCTGACACAAACACATGAGTCAACATCACTTGCACCGCATTCAATCGTCCGATGTCCTCTTGGGGCGGGGAAATACCCCGACTTCCTACGCAAGTTAACGCCACATTCACTGATCCATGTTGAAGTACGGAGAGGTGCAGTAGTAGCAGAAACAAAAAGCAGCTTCCTGGGTGTGCGCGGTCAGAAGCTCCAGGACTCTTTTTTGGCCAATCTGGTTCGGAAGCGGGAGATTCAGGTAACTCTGAGTTGGTTTGGATTGGGTTCCATTTTTTCCACCGGTTCTTGTGGAGGGTAGATGGGCAACCCCCTCCATCAGCAAACCACCCATCCATTTGGTTTCATTTTTTTCCACCCGTTCTTGTGGAGGGTAGATGGGCAAACCCCCTCCTCAAGCAGCAAACCACTGGGCTCCAAACCGCCAATTGGTGGGAAGCATAGGTGTCCTGTTTGGTTGTGTTGGTCCAAAAATCGATGGCGATTCCTGGTTTACCTGGTGGTTGAATCATCTAAAAAGGATTAAAAAGGATGGGTCGCACGTTCCCGAACCCCCTCCTTAACCAGCAAACCTATCCGAACAACCAAACAGCATTGGTGTCCTTTTTGGTTGTTTTGGTTGTTTTGGTTTACCTGGTGGTTCAATCATCTACCTGGTGGTTTGAAAGGACAACTATGGTGCGAAGCCGAAGCCGCGGCGCGCGGGGACGCACGTCGCGCGCGTCGCGCGGGGTCGAGGGCCGCGCCCGAGGTGCGCAGCGCCTTCTCGGCGGCGGCGCGGGGCGGCGCTGACCTGGCCATCGCCCCTCGGCTCGGCTTGGTGCGAGGGGCGGGGGTGGTGCGGGTGGGAACCCGGGGAACGCGAGCGAGGTCACTGCCTCAGGTTTTTTTGTGCTGGGCTTGTCGCTGTTTGAGCTGCTTCGGAATGCGGGGTGCGGGTGGAAGGGAGGGGGGGGCACTGCCTAAGCTCGCAGCCCCGGCTGACGCCAGCAAGCAGTGGTTTGGGCACCCAGCAGACGGTGATTTACTAGGTTCTGGGACTTGTTGCTGCTCAAGTTCCTGGATTTGTTGCTCTTTGGGACCATTCTGGGAAGAAGGAATAAAGGGAGGGACTTGTTTTTCAGGCAATCCACTTCGGAAGTCAAGGTGCATCTTGACAAGGGGAACCCCCCTCTCCAAATTTGAGGTGGTTGATTTCCTCCTGGTTTCCCTTTTAAACGATCCAGGAAGGATCCCGTATCTTGAGAAATATCGGGTACGTGTTGAAGTAGGAAGACTCCTAAGAATGGGCTTCAATTCATTTTGGTTTCTCCGTTAAACCAACTCAGAAGACATACACCCACTTCTTTTTCTTTTCTTTTTTTTGGGGGGGGGGGGCGACCCAAACGAGTATCATCCAAACATGCCACACTCAAGGTGAAGTAAGGTACTCCTGGACATGGTAGGTGTCCTTTGATATACTCTTGAAGGTAATCCTATGACATGCCTTGATCCAGGATGGCAGCCGACCCCTTCGGATTCCTTCGGTATATCTTCGGTGTTTGCCCCTGCAACATCGGATTCCTTCCGCGTATCTTCGGAGTTTGCCCCTGGGTTCAACAGCAAAACGAGGGAGGTGGCTCTGAGCCGCATCCAACTTCCAAGTCCCTGGTGTGGTGGGGAACCAAAGGGACCACCCTCTAGAGCAAACAAGCCGCCCGGACCACCGAGCCCATTTCGTAGGTCCTCTGATTTCCGACACCCCCCATATTGTGAAACTTTTTTGGCGGGTCTTCTTTTTTGGGGTGGGTTTTCGGAACACGGCGAAAAGAACAGAAGAAGGGGGGGAAGGGCGAGGGGGCGTGTTTTTGTTTTTTGTTTTTTTTTTTTTTTTGGGGGGGGGGGTGGGCAGTTTTGATCGACGGCCTTCGTCCGCCCTTCGCCGGCAGTCGGAGTCGGAGTCGAAGCCTTGATCGATCTTTCAGGAGTTCTCCAAGCTGGCGGCGGCCATCTTCCCCTGGGGCGCGGTGGGCCAGGCCTTCCAGTCCATCCTGCGCCTCGCTCGGGTGGGTGGGATCCGGTTTGGGATCGGAGGTGCTCAGTGGGCAACGTGTCGTGCTCGGGGGCCCAACCGCTGGGTGGGTGGTTTGGGTTTGGTGGGTTTTTGGTTCCCGAAGGAGGGTCTCGGGTGATTTCGGTGCTGGGCAACCGGTGGGTGGAGTTTGGGTTTTGTTCTTGTTTTTGGGGGACGTGGGACTTGGGGAGATGACGGAGAAACACCTGTGGATGTTTGAATTATTTTTTGGGCCGGGGGGGTGGGGTGTGGGTGGGTGGGTTGCGCGGGGCATCAGGGGCAAGGTACCACGGCTCGATGAATTAGAGGCTGGTTCCCTCAAAAGTGAGGACCCCCCCCAAGAAAAGGGAAACGCCCCCCCCCCCCCCCCATGTTTTTTAGCAATCTGGGGGGGACCCCTGTGCTTTTTTTTAGCAATCTGGGGGGTGCCCCCTGTGATTTTTTTTAGCAATCTGGGGGTTCCCATTTACCCTGAATTGGCGCTTTGTTGCCATGATTGATACGGATTCCAGGACGCAAAGCTGTGTCTTCCCTTTCCTTCAGAGCAGATTTTAAAGCAGAAAGTTGGGACCCAGGTGTTGTTGGATATACAAAGCTGCTCAACTCATAGCTGGGTGAATTGAAGGATGCTTGCTGGATGTCTTATTTCCGGTCTATGAAACACACTGTGGCCCGGAATCTGTATCACTCATGGCAAATGGCCATGGGTCAAAAGCCAAATCGTACCCCCAGTGAACATCCCAATCCCCACTAAAATAGGTAACCTAAAATGGGTGGTGCACCTAAATAGACTAATTAAAATGGAAAGCCAAATCGTACCCCCAGTGAACATCCCAATCCCCACTAAAATAGGTAACCTAAAATGGGTGGTGCACCTAAATAGACTAATTAAAATGGAAAGCCAAATCGTACCCCCAGTGAACATCCCAATCCCCACTAAAATAGGTAACCTAAAATGGGTGGTGCACCTAAATAGACTAATTAAAATGGAAAGCCAAATCGTACCCCCAGTGAACATCCCAATCCCCACTAAAATAGGTAACCTAAAATGGGTGGTGCACCTAAATAGACTAATTAAAATGGAAAGCCAAATCGTACCCCCAGTGAACATCCCAATCCCCACTAAAATAGGTAACCTAAAATGGGTGGTGCACCTAAATAGACTAATTAAAATGGAAAGCCAAATCGTACCCCCAGTGAACATCCCAATCCCCACTAAAATAGGTAACCTAAAATGGGTGGTGCACCTAAATAGACTAATTAAAATGGAAAGCCAAATCGTACCCCCAGTGAACATCCCAATCCCCACTAAAATAGGTAACCTAAAATGGGTGGTGCACCTAAATAGACTAATTAAAATGGAAAGCCAAATCGTACCCCCAGTGAACATCCCAATCCCCACTAAAATAGGTAACCTAAAATGGGTGGTGCACCTAAATAGACTAATTAAAATGGAAAGCCAAATCGTACCCCCAGTGAACATCCCAATCCCCACTAAAATAGGTAACCTAAAATGGGTGGTGCACCTAAATAGACTAATTAAAATGGAAAGCCAAATCGTACCCCCAGTGAACATCCCAATCCCCACTAAAATAGGTAACCAAAAATGGGTGGTGAATTCACCTACCCCAAAATGGTACAATTGGTTTTGCATCCACAGCCAAATAACCATGCGGCAGGTTCAAACCTCCAAGCCAATCGATTTGCCCAGAGAGATCCAACCGACGGAATCCGTCCACCGACTCACAAAGGAACGCCCGGCTGGTGCGGGTCGAGTCCGATGCCGCGATCAACGAGGCGCGCATCGTGAAGCGCCTCGGCAGATGGCGGAGCCACTTGCTGTGCGGAAAAAAAGAGGTTCTCAACTAGGTCCCCCAGTAGTGCCCTTTTACCCCTTTTTTGGGGGGAGGGTTCTCCTACTAAAATAGACTACGGACAAGAGGGTACCCTTATTCTATCCTGTCTACTGGAGGACCTAGTCAAAATCAAAATTATTTACTGGGGAGAACCTCTCTTTGCATGGTTTTGTTTGGGAAATCCAGCGTGTTTTTGCAAGATCGGTTCCAACCTCCTTTTGAACGGCTAAGGGAACTCCACTGTGTTTTATCAACATTGGGACCTTTTAACTGAGTTTAGCTTGGGAATGCCAGTGCATTGGGATTGCATTAGTTGAGTCTGAAGTCAGAGCATTGGATTGGTGGGGCCTCGCCATACCATATTAATTATATACTTGCACGAGTCTTCCTCTCTCTCTCTATACGTATTGTAAGCGTGAGTATACCGTCATTGGACATGTTTGAGCTAGCTGTGTGTGAGTGTGTGTGTGTGTGTCACTCTCTCCCAAATGTGTGATGTTGAGATATGGGGTTATCTATTTTGAGGGTATGCGTTTAGGGTTGGGGGGGGGGGTGCGGGGGGGGTGCGGGGGGGGTCTCTATGGTGAGACAATTGGCGGACTTCCAAGATTGTGCGCACCCTCAAAAAGCTTGCCCTCAAGAAGCGAGAGAGCCCCCTCCCACATGCCAAAAGTTGCGCAAAAACGGTTGCCCGACCAAAAAGAAACGTGGAGGGCAAACGAAGAAAGCCCGCCCAGAGCTGCGCTTCTTGCTGAGGTACGGGCCCAAGCTGACGCGGAACCGCAATGCCATTGATGCCTCGCTGATTGAGTTCGGGCGCCTGCAGAAGGAGGTGTTCCCTTCGGACAATGCCTCCTGGCCAGCGATGGGGTCTGGGTGAATTACAACGACCTCACACGACCTCACTCCAAATTGGGGTTTATGTGGGGAATAGCCCCCCGACCTTATTACAGGTTGGTGGGATGGACCCCACAAGGCACCCCAAACCCGGGATCGGCCAGGGAATCTACGGGTGTTTTTGATCCCCTTGTTCGGGGGAAGAACGGGGGAAGCTTCTCAAGCAGGGGTTCTGCACTTTTGAGGGGAAACACGTACTTGCCGTCGGCAAACAACAGGCTCCTTTGAAAGAGGGGTGTCTTAAGCTTTTTGGGCTTCCACTGTATGCATGAATGTGTGTGTGTGTGCGCGCGTGTTTCTTTGTTTGTTTGTTTGGTTGTTCGTTCGTTCGTTCGTTCGTTTGTTTGTTTGTTTGTTTGTTTGTTTGTTTGTTTGTGTATTTGTTTGGTTGGTTGGTTGGTTTGTTTATTTGTTGGTTCAGTCTTTTGTTTGAATGTTTGTTGTTTTGCTTGCCTGCTTGCTTGCTTGCTTGCTTGCTTGCTTGCTTGCTTGCTTGCTTGTTTGTTTGTTTGTTTGTTTGTTGGTTCGTTTGTGTTTTTTTGGTTTTTGTTGTTGTGTTGGTTTGTTTATTTGTTTGGTTGGTTGGTTTGTTTGTTGGTTTGTTTGTGAGCGTGTGCGTGAGCGTGTGCGTGTGCGCGTGCGGGTGTGTGTGTGTGTGTGTGTGTGTGTGTGTGTGTGTGTGTGTGTGCGTGGGTGCGTGCGTGCGTGCGTGCGTGCGTGCGTGCGTGCGTGGGTGGGTGCGTGCGTGCGTTGGTTTGTTGGTTTGTTTGTTTGTTTGTTTGTTTGTTTGTTTGTTTGTTTGTTGGTTTGTTTGTTTGTTTTGATGGTTTGCTTGTATGTTGGTTTGTTGGTTTGTTTGTTTGTTGGTTTGTTTGCTTGCTTGCTTGCTCGTTTGTTTGTTTGTTTGTTTGTTTGTTTGTTTGTTTGCTTGTTTGCTTGCTTGCTTGCTTGTTTGTTTGTGTTTGTTGTGTTTGTTTGGTTGGCTGCTTGGTTGGTTGGTTGGTTGGTTGGTTGGTTGTTTCTTTGTTTGTTTTTGTTTGTTTGTTTGTTTTTGTTTGTTTGTTTGTTTGTTTGTTTGTGTTCGTTTGTCCGTTTGTTCTTTTGGTTTGTTTGTTTGCTTGCATGTGTGTTTGTGTCTGTGTTGGTGTGTGTGTGTGTGTGCACGTGTGCACGTGTTTGTGCATTTGAGGGTGCACTTTGCTGGTTGCCGTAAAGGGACACTCAAAGGACGCCGCCCATGAAAGGAGTCCCTGTCAAGTCAAAACACGTCCCTTTTGGGCTTTCCAAATGCTCGGCTGGCACCTGTTGAATTTGAAACTCACAAGAACTTCGTTGTTGTTGTCTTTGGGGGTCCTGTTTCAACCAGTTGACGGAGGGGTGTTTCCTGAAATTAGGAACACCCACGGAAGATCGGCAAATGGGGCTCCACGTCTTCCCTTAACTCAAGCAAATGCCACAGAATCAAACCCAGAGAAAGCGAAGGTTAGCAAGAGACAGTCACCAGAATTAGCGGCCGCCTTTTAAGTTCTTTACATTGGTTTGCGTAGCGCGTGTTAATACCAGGTTTTGATTGTGACTCAAATGGGGGGAGAACCTCAATGAGCTGGTCATTTTTCCACTTAATTAACCTCACAAAGAACAAGGGACCATCCGGCACCCACTTTGAATCACCCAGCTTCCATGTTCAATCCGCAAGTGAGTCACCCCATTTGGAGGGTAGTAAGGGGACATTCCCACACTCTTTCATGTTCAAGCCTCTTTCAAGTTCAGCCGCAAGTGAGTCACAATCAAAACCCCAATTCCCAGTCATAGATGGTTGCAGCCGTCACTCCAGCTGCGAGATGTTTTTTTCCCGAGGAGATCCGGGACAAGATCGCGGCGCTGAAGGTCGGGGAGGTGAAGGACTTCAAGATCCGCTCCAAAGAGGGCCGCAGGGAGGCGCTCGAGCGCGCGCGAGTTCGAGGGATCTGGCTGTGGTCAACACCGTTCAAGGGGATCCCATGTTGGTTGGGATTGGCGATTTTTCACCACCCATTTTAGGTTACCTCTTTTAGTAGGTGTACCATTTTAGGTACCATTTTGGTTGGTAGGTGAATTCACCACCCATTTTAGGCTACCGGGATTTTAGTGGTTGGATTGGGTCCCGTTCACCGGGGGCTCACCGACTTGGGTTTTGAGACCCATCTCGCCATCTCGGGTCTTCGTTCGGAGCGAGCTGACTCCGCAGGGGGTGCTCCGCAGGGGTCGGAGAAAAATTCGCGGGCCGCTTCGGGTAGTCTTCCAGTTGCTGAAGACTATTTGTTTGATTTTCCCCTGTTGGTTTTAAAGGGAATCGATTTCACAACTGGAAACATGTTCTGTTTTATGTTTTCTCCAATTTGGGCTTAGGCTTAAATGGAAGTAATGTTGACCCGAGAATGAAGAAACCAGTTTCGCTTCATGGGGCTTGGCGCCTCCAACGGGCAACACCTTTCCCTAAAGCTTTTGGGCAGCACCACATATGGCCGGGCGGAAGTTGAAAACACATATGGCTGTGGTGGTCAACAATGGGATCCCATTTTGGGGTTGTACCACCCATTTTAGGTTACCTATTTTAGTGGTTGGATTGGGATGTTCACTGGGGGTACGATTTGGGTGTTGACCCAGGGACCCATATAAACACTTTACTCATGCTTCTCTTTCTTTTTCTTGCTTACTTTTGGCTTCTGCTTCGCTTTCACTGTGTCTTGTTTTTCTCCGTCTTAAATTCGTTCTGTCTTTCTGTTTGTCTGTCTTTCTTTCTTTCTTTCTTTCTTTCTTTCTTGCTTTCTTGCGTTCTTGCTTTCTTGCTTTCTTCATTTATGTCTTTATTTATTGCTATTCTTTCTTTCTTTCTTTCTTTATTTATTGTTTTTCTTTATTTCGTTCTTTCTTTCTTTCTTTCTTTCTTTCTTTCTTTCGTTATTTACTTCTATTTGTTGCTTGTTGTTGTGCTGTGTTGTGTTTTTCTTTTGTCTCTTATCTATCTATCTATCTATCTAGTTATTTATTTATCTATTTATCTATCTATATATCTATCTATCTAACTAATCTTATCTATCTATCTATCTATCTATCTATCTATCTATCTATCTATCTATCTATCTATCTATCTTTTCTATCTGTCTGTCTGTCTGTCTGTCTGTCTGTCTGTCTGTCTGTCTATCTATCTATCTATCTATCTATCTATCTATCTATCTATCTATCTATCTATCTATCTATCTTATCTTATCTATCTATCTATCTATCTATCTATCTATCTATCTATCTATCTATCTATCTATCTATCTATCTACCTAATCTATCTATCTATCTATCCTATCCTATCCTATCCTATCCTATCCTATCCTATCCTATCCTATCCTATCCTATCCTATCCTATCCTATCCTATCCTATCCTATCCTATCCTATCCTATCCTATCCTATCCTATCTATCTATCTATCTATCAAAATATATCTATCAATCAACATCTATCTATCTATCTATCAATCAAAATCTATCTATCAAAATCTATCTATCTATCTATCAATCTAATCTAATCTAATCTAATCTAATCTAATCTAATCTAATCTAATCTAATCGAATCGAATAGAATCGAATCGAATCTATCTATCTATCTATCTATCTATCTATCTATCTATCTATCTATCTATCTATCTATCTATCTATCTATCTATCTATCTATCTTATCTGTCAATCTTTCTGTCTATCTATCGATCCATCCTTTTATTTATCTATCTATTTATCTACCTATTTCTGTTTGTATCTATCTATCTATCCATCCATCCATCCATCCATCCATCCATGTACCTGTATACCTATATACCTACCTACCCACCGACCTACCTACCTACCTACCTCACTACCTAACCTAACCTACCCTAACCTACCCTAACCTAACCTAACCTAACCTAACCTAACCCTACCTACCAACCTACCTCCATCTATCTATCTATCTTTCTATCTATCTATCTATCACTGGGCGCCCGAAAAGTTTTAAAGTGCTTTTATCCAGGTAGCTCTTGGATTCAACATTCGATCACAAGGGTCCTGGCGCTTTGTTTTTTTTGGGGGGCCATTCTGGAGTTAAGAGTCAAGATCTAGAGTTCTGAAAATCTTGAATATTAGATCCAAAAGCGCTTTAATGCGTCTGTTTTCAGTCATTCCTGTTTGGGTGTGCACCGTATTGTCCGTTTGGACTTGTGCGCGGTAAATGCGTATGACTGAAATAAATCCACGCCTACTCTGGATATTGAAGCAAACGCTGTAAATACCAGTGTTTTGAATATTTTCTAGTTTTTGCGCTGAACAGCTTTCGTTCAGGGAAGGCACAGGTTGTTGACAGATGTCTGGGTTCTGCTCATAAGCTGAGATGAACAATTGAAGGTGCGTAGGCGAAGCAGAAGAGGTATTGTTGGCTGTATTTTGGGATACCGATGCACCGGCACCCTTGCAGAGATGTGTTGCAGTCAATCGAGTGAGAATAGTGATGAAGACTACAAACAAGCAAACTAAGTATGGAAGCATGTCAACATCGAAAACATGAGAATATCACGATTCGATTTGCACACTGCTGTATTATTGACTTACATGATTGAATACTTTAGAGATGTACGTATGAAACATTGATTTTAGATGCTTGTATTACTTCTTTGTACTGTACCGAACTTTGCTTTTTCACTCTGCCTGACTTACTTTGTAATGTTCAAATTAGCTTGATTTGTTGTCAATTTATCTTGTGACCAACACATGTGTGAAATTATTGAAAAAGGGGTCAAGAGGAGGAATGACACTGGCAACTTGCAAGCAAGTAGAAGCAGCTAATACTTATATGGGCAGAGTCTTCATGAATGATCTGCGCGCGCCTGCCAACATTGGGAAATGAAAAGCTGACTTCTGGTATCATCTATCTAACATTACCTGACTTCCCTTACAAAAGCAGCAGGTGCGGGTTTTGAAGGTGGGGGTTTTGAGGCAGGGGGTTGTCTTCAAACTGAGAGGAAGCGGAACCTTCGCGACTCAACTTTCCATTGGGTTTCACCACGTAAACCAAAAGGAGGAAGCTTTTTGCAAGGTAAAGGACAAGGGAAATGAACATGTTCATTTCGGGGCAAACCCAAGGGTTTCCTCCTAAGCCACCCATGTCTTTTGTTACATACTTTTGTTCTTTTAACCGGTGGGTGTGTCTCAAACTGGGGGAGTTCACAGGTTTAAACCGATTTTAAGAGCAGGATATAGCAGCTTATTCCCAACAAAGCAGGCATGCCAGCAACTTTCCGGGGTCCAAACCCTATGAGAATGGTTAAATTTCCTCTTTAAAGCCAGCCCCAAGCAGGATACCCAACAAAGCTTGACTGCGATTGGGTCAGATCTTTCGACTTCAACTTTGTGGGAAATCAAGTTAAGTTTTCCACTAAACCCACAAAAAGCTACACTTTCTGCAGAGGGGTCAACAGCAACCAACAATGCCACGCCCATTCTTCGGTTCCAAACCCTACCCCAGCAGCGCAGCATCAGCGCCAGGTGCATCTGATCGCCGCGGAGCTCGGGATGGTGTCCAGGTCCTATACCTCGGGCAACCAGCGCGCCTCGCTCCGAAAAACACGAAGGAAGTAGCTGGGTGTGGGTCAAAATTGGCAGGGTTTTGGATTCCCAACTTGGCTTCCAAACGTCTGCAACCATCCAAAAAGAAGTAACTGGGTGTGGTTGGCTCCTTTTGGATAGTTTTCAGAGGAATCCAACAGGAAAGCAACCACGAGGGGCAAAAGTGGAGATCAACCTCCCAACGTGAATCTGAGAACTTCAAAGAATGCTCTCTGAATGGACGCGAAGAGAATCAGTTGTAATTAAGGGGCAGGAGTTGTGTTGCTTCAGCCATCCCAAGCTTCTCCTTCGAATCTGGTTTCAACATCCTTCCAAGCATTGGCAGTTGTTTGCTGCGCGAATCCTGCCCGAATCCCTCGCGACTATACTGCGACAACTGCGGGTCTGAAGCTCAAAACAAGCAGCTAAACATATCCAGCAGAAATCTGGAAAGGGGCCTTCTTTTTCCAAGCCCAAACCAGTTTGTTGACGTCATCACAGGGTGTCGCCCCTGCCAGTTGTGTGGGCTGAAATGTGTTTAGGGCATTGGCTGGAGACTTTCTGCCGTACAAGCTTGCATGGGGGTATAAGCCTCCATAACTCCAGAACCTATTCTGGAATGTTAACACTGTCCAGCTGGCTGAAGACATGAATGGCTGCACCCACCAAGGAGTGATTTGAAACTTCCATGGCAGCGCTTGAATGATATGGTTTGTCTTTGCAAGCGTTTAGCCCAATTTTCAGCCATAGGTTTGGGGGACACTTTGCAGTTTGCCAAGTTATGTTTTTCGTCCTGCTTTCGGCGAACCATCGTCTAAAACAACTTGGTACTGTGGCAACAACAAGCTTTGATTCACACATGAGTTACACGAGGGTGAGCTGGTAGATGGCTTGCAATTCCGGGTAGATGTGGATAGGTGAAAAGTGAAAACGGTAAAGGGGACAAAACCACAATGAATTGGAGGAGGGACTTGTACAACACGTGTCGGGATGTGATTTCGTTAACATTTCCCCGGTCATGATGTGATATTTCGCAGCGGAATGAACTCCTGCATAGACATGGGGGTTGATCAATACTCCATTCGGTCCCTAGATTCTAGATGACCATGGGTAGCTTTTTCACTAGGAATATCAACTTTTTGGGTGGGTTCTCAAGTTCATCGTATCTTTGGATCGCCCGCCACATGGCTTGCTGGTGCTCAGCAGGGAATGAGTTGGAATGACCCCTACAAACGAACGGTTCATCCCAACTCATTCCCTATTGATTTCGCACCCATCGCAAGATGGCAGCCCAAAACCTCGCTCCCCCCAAGTGCAGCTCGGCCGGGCGAGTCGCGTAACGCGAAGGCGTGGTCTCCGTGAAGAACACCGGCGGGGCACTGGACTCGAATGCCCGCGCCTCGAAACTTGGGGCCGGGGAGGGGGGGGCAATGGGCAGAGGTTTGGACGAAACTTGTAGCGAATGCAAAGCGGGCTGGAGGTGTTTTGGTGCAAATGAGAAATGCGCGCCAAAAGGGGCGAGCGTGTTTTGGTTGGGAGGAGCAAATGAGGGCAGAAGATGATTTATGGTTTACCCTCGAAACACCGATCTGCCCGACATGATTTGGAGCCCATCACTTGCGCCGGCCGCGGGGCCCAGCAAGTGCAGCCTTGACCAAGGAGCAAGTCGAGGCTGAGCAGCCGCAACAAAGAAGTCCAGATGCGCAGGTCAAGCCTATCCCGCCATGCATCACTCGGGCACTGGCTTGGATGGCCGAGCGCGAGTGATGCGATGGTTTGTTAGCTGCCACCACGAATGATTTGGCGCAAAGCTGCGGGGAATTGGCAACAAAGGTGGGGATGTGGCTGGATACACCTCAGTGGCTGCCTCGGCAATATGTCAGCGCTGACAACCGGGGTATCTCATTGCTTAAACTGAACTGTTTTTTAGCTTCTACATCCACACTGGTCGACAAATGCCGGTGCGCGTCGACACAGTTGCTGGTAAGAAGAAACAGGAACTACGTGGCGTATGACTCCATACCAGCTCCACAATGGCTGCAAAATCCCATCATGCCGAGCCCGGCCGAAGGAAAAGGCTGTAAAGTCGCGTTTTTCAGAGTGCTTGGATTTCACTATGGCAGACAAGGATTGCTTTCCCGACCGGTTATGCAGCATGCTTTACCGCGAACGGTCATGGCCCACGGCGGTGCATCAGAATTGCTTCGGGCCCATGCATTTCCTCGGGTTTTTGGGCATACATGCCAACAATTCAGAGTGAGCCGTGCATTTCCGGACTTGAGGGCACTGGTTCCTATTTGAGAAACACCCACATTGTGACCCAGTTTTTTTCCACAGGATCGATTTATCACCCCCTCTCCTAGGGGGTGGGATCGGACAATCGGGGGGTTGCAATTCAAAACCAGCGTACGGGTCTGGACATTTCCCATGGGACAAGGTTTCTTTGCTGGAACCAAAAAGGCACACGAAGTCCTCTCGACCAGTTTGGGTGTGGCTCATTTTGTTTGTTTGGACCGCAGATTGCTGGTGTTTGGGGGTACCCTAACTAGGTCCCCCAGTAGTGCCCTTTTACCCTTTTTTGGGGGAGGGGTCCCTTACTAAAATAGACTACAGAAAAAAGGGTACCCGTATTCTAACCTCTCTACTGGAGGACCTATCTAAAGCTGGCTTTGAATTTTTAGTTGCGGGTGGTACCAACTTTAATTTTGAGCCACATGTCAGGAGGAGCAAACCAGCTTTGTGGACATGGTCGAGAAGGAGTTTGTGGGTACTCTGCAGAAGGCCGGGTCCACAAGAATTGGTGAAGAGTCCCAACTTTTGTTTGCTCAAGGATATGCATTTTAGTCCATTTTGGCGGGGATGGGGATGTTCACTGGGGGTACGGGCTTTTGACCCATGGACATATGTTATATTCCCCCCTGTTGGTTTGAAAGGGAATCAATTTCACTACTGGACATTTTTTTTTTTCAGGGAGCTTGAGCAAATGGAAGCAAAGGTTGCCTGAAGAGGAACACCGCCTGCCTTCGTGTTTGTGTCTAAACAAAATATGTATATATATATATATAGTATGATTATTATTAGTAAACGTAATATTATCATCATTTGTTTTATTATTGTGATTATCATTATTATTATTTTGTCTAACATAATTTGTTATTATTAATATTCGGATTATTATAGTTATTACATATATGTACATATATATAATATTATATATTATATACATGTATATTCACGCCTGGAGCGGGAAACAAGGCCCTTTTCGGGCCCGGGCGGGGCCCGGGCGAGGTTTCCGGCCAAAAATAATACTGAGGCTCGGAGAAAAGCAGATTTCAACAAACACACCGGAGCCCGGGTGTTTTGGTCAATAGCGGGGCCTTCAAATGGTTGGTCTTGAGTTGGTTTCGTTTACGCGTGCTCTACACAAAGGGGTCTTTTGGGCTTGACGCGTATCCAACGAGCAACGGAATCCCTGCCAAGAGAGAGTATGCTTCTTGGTGGTCGTGCGAAACATGGTGATACTGTGGACGGACAAAGTCCTGCACCACCTAAGAAACACTGGAAGCCTGGAAGGATGATTCCCCTGTAAATACCAAAGACAAATGGTTTCCCATGGTTTCAAAGTGGTGCAGGATTTCGTCCATCCACAGTATGGTGATGGTTCCGGAACCCCCCAAAATGGTTTTCGTTTTTGCCCTTTGGTTTTTCTTCAAAACGACCCAACGGGTACCCTCAAAAACTCAGCTGCCCAAAGCCGACCTTTTGACCTTTTGGTTTCTCCTTTTTGGTCTAGTTTTAGTCATGGCCCCAAAAGGTTAACCTTTTATTTCTGGATCCTTTGGGCAGGTGAGAAAAAGGTCGATCCCAAAGTAGTGTCAGTGTCTGGCCTCCAAGGCCTTCTTTTTAAACAGCAAGTCTCTGCTGCGGATTGGTTGTATGGGTATTTCTCCAAATAGGGGAACACAACAGGGTTGTTTCCTTTTAGTTCCCTACAACACCGCAACCACTTTGAGAAACCCCATGTAGGATCATATGGGAACTTCGAGTGTGTCAAAATGGGTTAAACGACTAGCAATATGAATTCCAGCCGATTTGAGGGTCTTTACTTGCGGGACCGCACAAGATGCGTCTGAACTTGGGCGAAGCGGCTTGAACCCACGGGAAGCCCCTGGAAGGCGCTAGTTCCACATGAGATCCTCACGATGAAACAGAGGCCAAAGCACGAGAATCACCATGGTGGCAAGCCCAGCCCATCCGGTTCTAGTTGGTGGGTCTTATTTGTTTTTTTGGTTTGGTGGTGGTTTCCACTCTAATCCACAAGTTAGTCACTTTTGGCTTGGGGGATCTGAAAACGAACGAATTCCAATGCCCGAAAGCCGGTCGGCCTTGGGCTTCGGGGCCAGGAGGCGGAGACTTCGCTGGCCGAGGGCATCCCGAAGGACAGGGAGCGAAGTTCAAATGTGTGGAACTAAGCAGAGGAACCATAGGTCTTGATAGGTGTCCTTTTTGGCTGTTTCGGTAGAAAAATAGATGGTGATTCCTGGTTTACCTGGTGGTTTAATCATCCCTTAAAGGATACCTATGACAGGAACCCTCCAAGTGGGTGTTCATGTTGGTTCCCTCGGTTAAAAAGCCAAAACCGACGCAAGAAGGGCCTGAGTTTTCATACTCCGCCATTCAAGCTGGCGTCTCAGAATACCTGCTCGCGAAGATGGTGCGTTGCCAAGCGATTGGTTGTCTCAAAACGAGCTCCTGAACCAGAGAAAAGGCTCTTCTCCGAGCACCCATCCATGTGGGTATGTGTCAACAAGGGACCCGCAAAAAGGTGGTAAGCCTACCTGGTACCAACAGGGCTCCTTAAAAGATCCATTTTGCCCATGTGAAACGTGTTTTTTTCCACCGAAATACAGGGACACCACCATTTACAAGGCAACGTTCAGGTGTATGTAAGGATCCCTTTCTTTTCCACTAACCAGGCAAAAAAAATATATATTTTTTGCTGGGGTCCTAATTCTAGCCTAGTCTTCGGGTGGTAAACCTATCCAGTACCAACCTGGAAGAAAACACAAAACCCCTGTGCCACCTTTAGGAGTGGATGCCCTGGGTGAGCACGGCCGCCGCGGCGACGGTGAGCGCGCAGGCGGGCGGTTCTTGTAGTCAAGTGAACATTTGGGTGGGGCAAAATATGGTTCAAACACCAGCTTTACAAGGGAATAATCATCATAACAGGTGGTTTAAACATGTTTAAATCAATGGGTGGAACATAGGCCAGACAGGGATTCATATGATAGAATCATGTCCTACGTGGGCCGACTCTGGTCTGAAATCTCGAGTTACACCTCGTTTGGGGTTGCAAAAGCTCCCCAAATGGATGTCAGCTCTCCTTTTGGTTCCCCCAAAAACCCGCAGGCAAAGTGGTACCAACTCCAAGGACCCAAAATCCCGTTTGTTGGCCTTTATATTCTTCATGGCTCTTTGGTAACGGATCTTTGGACTGACTCGGTTGAAACAGGTCGGATGTTCCATACGTCACAAGCTGAAGCTTCTTGCAGAGGGGTCGTTACAGCATCCAGGGTTTCATAGAGTCAGACCAAGTTACCATTGAGCTTCTAACGAACCAGCAAAAAAGGGAAACTCGACCGGACATGAGCATGCGCTTGGTGGTTGCAGCACGTGCGCAATGCAATTTCCTGTCGACATTTCCTTTTTGGTTTGTTTCTATGAGATAGCTGCTGAAAACCTAGGCATCCAAATCGTGCTTCATATCTTGTTGAAGGTATACATGTGTGATGTTCTTTTGGGCATAATGATGCCATCAATTTGGGAAGTCCATTCTGAGACCGAACCAAATTGGTAGTCCTGGTCTTCTTCGCCTTGCAATTGCTTGCTCATGATCACGGGTGGGTTCCTCGCCCCAAGTCATACAGATGGTAAATTCGATCCGAAGGCGTCCCATGGTTTAGAAGTGGTGCGAATTGGATTTCGCCCATCGGTATATAAAACGGTTCCAACAGGTCAGCCTCCAGCGTGTTGTCAATGTGTTTTGGACTAGGCGAGCTTGTGGAGCTATTCACTCTGTGCGAGTGAAACCCGTGCGCTGGGCTTTGATTTGTTGTGTCCCAACAGCAGCACCTCCAAGTGCGAGTCTGGTGGTGTACTTGCATATGTCACATTCAGATGCAGTATTTGCACCATGGCAGTTCCGACAACAGAAACCTGAGGCACCCAACAAATATTAAGGTCCTGTACCCTCCTTTTCGGTCGTGAGCAATTGCCTTCCTCAAACCCGGAGTTACTTGTGGCAATCGTGACATTCAGTGCTCCCACACCTGGGTATGGGTCAAAATTAAACCACCAGCAAACCGCAGGTTTTAGTCCATTTTTCCATTTAGCAGGGCAACCTCATTTTGGGATTACCTTATTTTTGACCACCACAGCTACTTGTACCTGATGAATCTAGAGATTGATTGTTCCTTTCATTCCGCTTGCGCACGGCCTGATCAATCTGGGAATCCTTTGAGCTCCTTGGCTTTCCTTGTTACACCTCGAGTGCAAAAAGGGAACCAGGGCAGCCCTACTGTGGATGGACAAAATCCATTTCGCACCAAGAAACAATGGGGAACCATGGTTGGTTGGTATTTACAGGGGAATCATCATTCCCAGTTTCTTAGGTGGTGCAGGATTTCGTCCATCCACAGTATGAAACCCAGAGGTAAACGTATCTTACCTACCAGAAGCACTGAGACTGAGATGGACTCACAGAAATCGGATGTTTTGCCAATACCCACAGGATTCCGCCGGACTCATCACAGTATCCGCAGATATTCTGTCGAACACCCAAAAGCAAGTTTACTGCGAGCTGCCGCCTTTTTGGCCTCGTGTCGTGGTTGTCGTTGGGAAACATGTTTACACATGTTTGCTTATTTGTGGTTTAGTGGTTGAAATGCAACCATTTAACTGCTATTTAGAAGCATGCTCCGTCTTCCAACGTCAACCAAGGTGTCTTGGGACAAATGTTAACTCCTGATTAATAAACCCCCGGTTGATTAATAGGGAGGTGAATCCCTTTTAGTGGGGATTCAGACCACTTTTGGAGGGAACACCCCCCTAATAATGGGACGGGTTCTACTTAGATCCCGGGTCAACATTAAATCCCTCTGGATGGACGAAATCCGTTGACTGCACCACCTAAGCACCCCTGGTTTGTGAGGATTCCCCAACCCTAACCCCCCCCCCTCCCAACCCCAACCCCCCCCCCCCAACCCCCACATCCCCCAATCCCAACCCCAACCCCAACCCTCCCCCCCAACCCCAACCCCCCCAAGAAAAAACCGAGCCTCCCGTTTGCCTGGAGGCTGCGCCGGCGGTGCTGGGGGCGGACGCCTCCCAGGTGGTACTGCCGCTGGTCACCGGGGGCATCGGCCTGCTGACGGCGGGGATTCTGTGGGGTCTGTGGGGTGCGGTGGTTGCTTGCTTGCTTGCTTGCTTGCTTGCTTGCTTGCTTGCTTGCTTGCTTGCTTGCTTGCTTGCTTGCTTGCTTGCTTGCTTGCTTGCTTGCTTGCTTGCTTGCTTGCTTGCTTGCTTGCTTGCTTGCTTGCTGCTTGCTTGCTTGCTTGCTTGCTTGCTTGCTTGCTTGCTTGCTTGCTTGCTTGCTTGCTTGCTTGCTTGCTTGCTTGCTTGCTTGCTTGCTTGCTTGCTTGCTTGCTTGCTTGCTTGCTTGCTTGCTTGCTTGCTTGCTTGCTTGCTTGCTTGCTTGCTTGCTTGCTTGCTTGCTTGCTTGCTTGCTTGCTTGCTTGCTTGCTTGCTTGCTTTGCTTTGCTTTGCTGGGTTGCTGGGTTGCTTTGCTTGTTGCTTGGTTGCTTGGTTGCTTGGTTGCTTGGTTGCTTGGTTGCTTGGTTGCTTGCTTGCTTGCTTGCTTGGTTGGTTGGTTGGTTGGTTAGTTGGTTGGTTGGTTGCTTGGTTGGTTGGTTGGTTGGTTGGTTGGTTGGTTAGTTGGTTGCTTGCTTGCTTGCTTGCTTGCTTGCTTGCTTGGTTGGATGATCGGTTGGTTAGTTGGTTGGTTGCTTGCTTGCTTGCTTGCTTGCTTGCTTGCTTGCTTGCTTGCTTGCTTGCTTGCTTGGTTGGATGATCGGTTGGTTGGTTGGTTGGTTGGTTGTTTGGTTGGTTGGTTGGCTTGTTGGTTGGGTTGGGTTGGGTTGGGTTGGGTTGGTTGGTTGGTTGGGTGGGTGGGTGGGTGGGTTGGTGGGTTGGTGAGTTGGTTGGTGGGTTTGGTTGGTTGGTTGGGTGGTTGGTCGGTCGGTCGGTCGGTCGGTTGGTTGGTGGGTTTGGTTGGTTGCTTGCTTGCTTGGTTGGTTGGTTGGTTGGTTGGTTGCTTGGTTGGTTGGTTGGTTGGTGGGTGGGTGGGTTGGTTGGTTGATGGGTTGCTTGGTTGGTTGGTTGGTGGGTGGGTGGGTGGGTGGGTGGGTGGGTTGGTTGGTTGTTTCTTTGTATCTTTGTGTGTGTTTGTTTGCTTGCCTTCTTGCTTGTTTATGTGTGCGTGTCAACGTGTATTCTATATATGTGTATGATCATATGTGTTTGCATGTGTGTCCAGATGGGCATTTTGGCATCTCGTAGTTTCCTTGTGCCTTGTTCAAGTCCAAAGACGGGGTTTGCTGCTTGGCCACTCTCCAAGCGACACCCGATCCGGCCGCAGGTGTGGCAAGAGCGCGCTGGCCAGAAGCCGAGACACTTCCGCGGATGGACGTTTTCCCTCCCCCCTTCCCCGCGCGCGCCATCCGAAATAACATATTTTTGGTATACATGCATACATACATACATACATACATACATACATACATACATACATACATACGTTGCAGTGGTCGGCCATCCAAATTTTGGGGATCCCTCAAGTTCGGATTTGTTGGTATTTTCTCGGAGCCGTGGAGAGGTCAAGTGGCTTGCGAGTTTGTTTTGCTGGCCCGGAACTGCGGTGAAGGATTGCCGGGTTTTCCAAAGAATCGCCAAACAAGGAGCTTCTGGTGTGGAATTCTTGTGATGGCCGCATAGAGCACCGGTCGTCTTCGGCGCAAAGTATTGCACCCGCGTCTACTAGTCAGAGGACCCCTAAAATAGTTCATTTCCTCACACAATTGGGACCACCAGAAACATCAAACACAACATTTGCGGTCCCCACCAAAACGACCAACCCGTTGGCCTCCCAAAACAACCAACATTTCAACTTCAACATGGAACCGGAAAGGCACCACATGACAATTCGCCTTCAGGGGCCTTCTCTCAGGTTCCACGCCTGTTGGGAGAGAGCAACATCAAAGAGCTCATCTGCAGCAGTTCACTGCAGGCTTTGGTCAATGTTTACATGTACCAGGGTTCCATTTTGGGCACCTAGTTTTAACCATACCCGTGTTCCAGGAGTTGAATCCCCATTCTTTTCAATCATCGTTCTTTTCACAAACAGGCCGTTTTCCCTGGGTTTCTGGAGGTTTTCTGGAAAGAAGGATCCCTGGAAAGAATGGGGAAGGTACCCCTAGACGTGTTAGTGGGAGGAAGGGTAGTCCCAACAAAAAGCGTTCGAGACAGCCATGGAAGTCAAGGCCGGGAGCAAGTGGCCTACGCCAAGAAGGACGCTGCGGTGTTGCAGCGCAGACACGTGGGGGGCCTCAGACGGGCCAGACGCCGGGGGTTGGAAATAACATATACAAAGGGTTGTGTTCTGTCGTAGGAGCTGGTAAGAGAAACCAGAAATAGACACCAAACTCCCTGTTGCGGGTCCAAATCCCTGTATGACAGATACCCAAACAGGTTTACAAACGCAGTGCCCCCCAATGTTGGAAGTTTATATACTAGAGGTGGCCACATGGTTGGGGCACATAAATCTCTTCTTTTTCCCGGGGTCAAAGGAACACCCGTCTGGTGCCGAAAATCAACGCTGGAATGGAAGGATGGGAAACAAAATAAAAATTGACCATTAGGGTTCGATGTTCGTCTCCAAATGGAGGAACCTACAAAATCGGGTGCTTTCCCTTTGAACCCAAATCTTGGTACCGGCTGAACCTGGGAGAAAGAATGGGCAGCGAACTATGAGCAGTTGAAGGAGCACGGCTGCGACCGTTGAGACTGAATCGTTTTGGGATTTTGGATGGAGAGGCATCCCTTCTGGTTTCCTAGGTCCCCCAGTAGTGCCCTTTTACCCTTTTGTAGGGGAGGGTTCCCCTACTAAAATAGACTACAGAAAAAAGCGTACCCTTATTCTAACCTCTCTACTGGAGGTCCTAGTTATGGTTTCCTTTAAGGGGATCCCCAGAATTCATTCCCAACACCCGGGACTGAGCACCAGCAAGGGGCAGCGAGCCTAGCACACACCCAGAATCGGGGTCAAGCTCCCCCCCGGATCTGTTCGGATCAGGCGGAGGCAGAGGCATTGGTCGGCCTGGCCGCGCTCTCCGCCTCGGTGGCTGGGCTGGAGACGGGCCCGTTGGTTTTCTGGGCGCCAGAGTGGTAGGGTGGGTGGGGTGGGTGGGGTGGGTGGCTCTTCTTTGAGGGTACCCTCCAACAATCATGGAAGCTGACAGCCTTTTGGGGGACCCCCTGTCCACTTCCATGATTGTTGGAAAGAGGGTACCCAGTTTTGGTTTTTGAGGGAAACCAAGAGGGAAACACGCCATTTTTGGGTCCAAAGACGACACACCTGCATGTCAAATGGAGAACTCGACCCCTCACGGCTCTTGGGTTGCATGTTGCTCAAATCCGGTTCTTCTCCTCAGACATCACCCGCAAAGCTCACCTCGGGTTACGAGCTCAGGCATGAAGATTATTCACAAGAGGTTTGCTTGTCACGAAAGGTAGCGATAGCTAACCTGCAGTATTTTCTTGCTTTAGCAAGTGTAGGGGCAGCAACTTCCTGATCGCTGTGATATTTGCGACGGCGTCCTTTGGCATGAAAACATTGATAAATAATTGAAAACGGGACCCCCCCTCCCCCCCGGGAAGGGTTCCATTCCCCCCTGGTCCGCATTTGGACCGGCTTTTCTCATTGTCAAAGTGTTGGGGACAGGGGCTTGCCGGACGCGGGAATGTGTTCAAAATGCTTAAGTTTGCTACTTCTTGAATGGTAGTGCCTCACGCGGATCGAAAGGAGCTTGTTAAAATCTGTAATGTTGAAATTACCGAAGAGGACAGCTTTTGCCGGGCCCTCGGTTTTGACAGTGGCCCTTTGCTGACTTGGTGTGTGTGTTTTGAGATCTGGCTTCAATCGAACCACGGGGAAACTACCATTTTGGGGGTTCCCCCAATTTGCGGATAAAAGATAGATTTATGTTTATGCATGTGTATCGATATGACTATGCTTGTTATTATTGCCGTTCTTTCGTATTGATAATAATATATCATATATACGTTTAGGTGGTTCAAGCATCATCTTCTGAGGGCCACGGGCCACGTGAGCTGCCTTTCAACGGGGTAGGTCAGGTCTGAGACGAGGTCGGGTCTTCAATTCAGCTTGGGTTCGAAGACTTCGAAGCACCGGAGTGTAGTTCAGGAAAAACCATTGTGGGTCGCCATTGAGGGTATACCTTTTCAGGTTGGTCCCCAGGGGAACCACGAGGAAATGGACGATTTTTAGGCCTCCTATTTTGAGCTTCACGGGTCAAACAGAGGTACCCAAAATGGAACGCTGGTGGTTTAATTTTGATCCATACCCATATGATCATTTGCGAAAAGTAGGGCGTCCCCTTGCCAAAAGCCCAGTGCGGCATTTTTGCCGCCCATTTGATTCCAATTCCATGTTCTTGTGTAGACCCGTTGGATTCCATTTTTTTTAATGACTCAGGTGTGAGGCGATCCTGCAAACATTCGATAAGGAAGCACATTGATCCGAAAATACTTAGTACCAAGGTGTTGATACCTTGGGATGTCCCAAAAATCGACTTGCCAAAGAAGGATGGTATCTACCCCAACCAGGTTCAAACATTTGAACTGAAATGACCTCATCTGGAGGGTAAAACAAGCTCGCCCATGATGAAGGTCCTTTACTCCAGCGAGTTGGTTTCTTCGGTACCTCCCAGTCAGTGGTTTAAATCCTTAGTGAGACATGACCTTCTCATTTCGGAGCACTTCCCGGGTTTTAAGTGTAGTTTGTGAGATGTCGCCTGTCGATTTGTTCAACACCTTGGGTGGGAGCAATCTCTGCAGCTTCAGGGGCGGTCGGATCCGTTTTCGGTCGCCAAAAACGACTCACTCGTCCAGCCACTGGAAAAAGGGAAGAAAACAACAAGAAAACAAAAACACTGCGCCCAACCCCCCCCCCCCGAGCGAGGCCTTGCCCACCTATGTGGCAGTGTCGGCGGTGGCGTCGGCCTTCGTGCCCTGGTTTCTTCCATTGGCTGAAAGGGACATGTGTTATTTCCCCTGCCTAAGAGGGGAGCACCTTCCATTTGGTGTATATGTATATATGTATATTATGTATATATATATATATATATATATATGGTCACCCCCCTGCATGACCCACCTTTTTCAGCATATATATATATATATGTATATATATATATATATATATATGTATATATATATATATATCCCCTTCAGATTTTTGGGTGGTGGTTTAAAGGTTCACTACCCCGGTTGTATGAACTTTTCACTTTTCAGAAGATGAGTTTGGTGGTAAGCAACAACAAGTCTGGACTTTTTCGACCAATCCACTCAGGACTGAGTAAATCATGTGTTGGGCGCAACAGGTGATGTTTCAAAGCAAAAGGCGAACTTCAAAGCACAAGGCGGAAATATGGTGGAGTGGTTTGTCCGGTTTTGGTTGTTTTAAAGAGAAGCTGTTGAGGTTGTGCCAAAGGGACAAACCAAAGGGCCCAAGGGAACGTGGGCCCAATTTTTCATTTTCCTATATTAGTGTGGGGGGGTACTCGCAATAGAGCGCACACCATCATTCTTTATGGAATGCGGGTACAAAGGAAGCAATGTATGGAAGGGGAGGGAATGTTTTTCTCAGTTTGGGATGTTGGGTTGAAGCCAATGCGGTCTCCATTGGCATGTCGCTAATTAGCCCTCGTTTCGTTTTTGTTTGAAGGACAGCAAAGCAAAACAACATTCATCACAGGAGATTCCGGAACGAACAGCCAAGGTAGATGTGGTTACAAGTTTTGTTCCCCCCCCCCCTCCCCTTCCCCCAACCTCAACCTCCCTCCTTCCCCTCCCTTCTCTCCCCTCCCTTCTCTCCCCTCTCCCTCCATCCCCTCCCCCCTCCCCCCCTCCCCCCTCCCCCCTCCCCCCCTCCCTCCCCCCCCTTGCCCTCCCTTGCCCTCCCCCTCCCCTGCCCTCCCCTCCCCTCCCCTCCCCTCCCCTCCCCTCCCCTCCCCTCCCCTCCCCGTTTTTTTTGGGGCCTTGGCCTTTTTCTCGGGACACCCTCCCGCCCTCCTCCTGCACTCCACTCAACCCGAGTCCTGCGTGGGCTTCCTGGCGGACTTCGGGGTGGTGGCCTGGGCCTGCGAGCTGCCCACGCTGCTCCTCTCCACCCTCTGCCTCATCCTGGGCTTGGAGCGCCAGGAGAGAAACAAAAATCCCGAAAATCCGCAGACATACCCGCAGATCGACCCGGCCCATGGAAAAACCAAGAACCAAAAACCCGAAGATATGGTTTGTTTTTCTTCTTCTCAGACTTGGTTTTTTCATTTGGGAGAAGAGACTGAAGGGGTCCGGTTTGTTGGTCAAAGAATTCATGGGATAGGGAAACTTGGAGCCCGGAACATGTGGTTCCGCTGCTGGGGCGCCCTTGGCTCCAACCCCGGGAGCTGCCGTCGTTTCGCTGAAGTCGACATAAGTTAGTGGGCGAAAATGGCCGCCTGACCCTTAAATTGAGGAGTCCGGCCCAACCGGTCGAACCCGGGATACCAATTTTCCTTCTGCGGCCGCAAAAAGGAAAATCGCAAAACCTCAGGAACCCCAGCAACATTTCGAGGGCTAGCTTCCATTTCCATCCTTTCCAGGGATCCGGATCTTTCTAGAAACGGGAAAACGGCTGGAGTTTGGAAAGAAGGATGGTTGAAAAGAATGCCCTCACACTGAGGAGCCCACTGTTTGCGGGGGTTGCGTGAGACACCAAAAGGACATCGTGTCAAAGGGAGGCTCCCAGAAATCGAGGGCTTCTCCGGTGGGGTTCCAACTTGAAACCAACCTGAAAAGGGTATGGAGCCGCAGCGAAACACAGCCCCACATGTCTGTTTCACTTTTGTGTTTTGATTTGTTGGATGTTTTTGTTTGATCTTCAAGTGGGAGTATACCGTGCTGACATTTCTCTTTGGGGTGCTTGAAGCATCACCTTTCGGGCAAATGTTCTAGGGGTTGATTCCCCATTCTTTTCAACCATCGTTCTTTCCAAACTCCAGCCGTTTTCCCTGGGTTTCTAGAAAGAAGGATCCCTGGAATGGATGGGGAAGGTACCCCTAGACATGTTGCTGGAGTTCCTTAGGCTTTGTGATGTTCAAAGTGGCCGCAAAAGGAAAATTGGTATCCCGGGTTCGACTGGTTGGGCCTGGATAATCGATCCCTGAAACGACCTAGACTCTCGTGGAGAGCGGTTGAAACATGGTGGGGTGAATTTAAAGTGTCCGTGATACATGGGATGACCGTTGGTTGGAAAACCACTAAAAACTAGGTGCCCCTTTACTCTTTTTTTGGGGAGGGCTCTCCTACTAAAATGGACTACAGAAAAAAGGGTACCCTTATTCTAACCTCTCTACTGGAAGACATAGAAAAGATGTGATGTTTCCCACTAAATGGGAACAGTTAGCCATGGCCCTTTTGAGGGCCAGGAATATTGATCAACCCCAGACCTAGATAGTTGGTTGGCCAAACTCTGGGCGGGTGTGTCGGACATCTAAGTAACAAATAATCGAGGTTTCCAGTGGTTTTCTATCGAAACAAGTCCAAAAAGGGTTGCCTGCATAAAGTGCGGTACTGAACATGATTTGTCGAGCTTGAATTTCCACAAAACCCAAAGCCCATACTTTCTTTTCAGTTTTGATGCATGTGAGCAGCAGTTCAATCTGGTACATGGGTGTGTCTTAAAGTAGCGACTCCCCCAAAAGAGTGGTTCTCCCCTTCTGGTTGTCATTTATCACACCCCCAAAAAACGCAATACCCTCAAAAAAAGAGAAGAAACGCATTTTCAGGTGTGTTCTGGTGGGAAAACGGCCCGGATGGCAAGGAGCAGGTGGAGAAGTACGTGCGGGGCGCCAGCCGCATCATCGGGGGCGAGCCGCCCAAGCGCGCGCGCTTCCGTGCGCAACGGCTCTGGCTCCTGCTGCCCTGGACGCCTGGCCTTCCAGTCCCCAGAAAGGGCATCAAAAGAGACACCCACATGTTCGTTCCTTGGGTAGATGTTTATTGGGCCTTGGCTAGAAGGGAAGCCAAAATGAAGACACTCGCAATGTTGATGGCCACCCATGCACCATGTTTTTTTTTGGGGAAGATCTAATTCTGGTTGAGCCTTATATAGCCAAAATGAAACATCGCGCGGGCAAAATGAATCGCAATTTGGGTGGCCGCCCCACAGGTAAACCTCCACAGGGCTCCTCAAAAGATACATTTTGCCAATTTGAAACATTGCTTTTTCCACCAAAATAAAGGGAACCCACCAAAACGTAAGGATCCCTGCTCCACTTGAACCCCCACGGCCCATGAGCCCCGCGGCCCGCAAGGATCGTGATGTTCCTCCCCGAGACTCTGGTTCGACGCTGCTGCGCGGCCAACGCCCTCATCGTCGCGGAGATCGGCTTCGCAACTCGACAGAGGAGAAAGCCCGCGGGGTGCCTCTTTGACGGATTTCGAGGGTGAATTCCAGAGGGTTCCCAATGGAAATCGCCAGTAGTTTGCAGCGTTTGAAGGGGACATCCAGTGACCCTCTAGCAATGGCTTGTTAGTTCTTGAAAGCCAGCGAAAAAGGGGCACCCCTATTTTGAGAAACCAACTTGGCCATTTCAGCCAAGACGCGGTTTTTCCGACCCCCACGCTGTTTTTCAAATGGAAAGGATCTGCACAACTTGTTCCGGGCAGCAGTTTGTCCACGAAGAGAAAGCCGTCGCGACTCCACATCTAATCATGGCGAGTGATTCAACCAACAGCCTTTGGCGATCAATTTACGGAGTTGTCTTTGTGTTTGTGTGTACCCGCTGCCTTCTCTATGATCTGCTTCAGACAGCTTGTTCTGAAGCCGGAGCCTTCCTCCCCCCCCACCGCAAACTCCATCCCAGTGTGCTTCAAGGAGATTGCCAGGTCTCATGTCAGTGGCTTCATGAGCTGCTGGACAGAGAGTATCTAGGTCCCCCGGCAATTGGTGCCCCTTCTCACCCGTTTCTTGTTTGGTTGGGAGGGTTCTTTTACTAAAATAGACTCCAGAAAAAAGCTGCCCTTTGACCAACTTACTTTTTGGGTTGGGAGGGTTCCCCCTACTAAAATAGACAACAGTACCCTTTTTTGGAACCTCTCTACTGGAGGACCTAGGTATTCACGACTGCCCCATGTGTCCATAGGTGACCAGGGACAGCTTTCAAGTGGCCCAAATTGGTGTCAGCAGGTGTCAGCAGGAACTTGACGTAGAGAAGGGCTCCTTCCATGCGCTCGTGTCATGTCCAAGAACACGCCCATGGGAGATACCATGGTTGTTGTTGGGAAGCATTTTCCCATTTTTTTGCTTATTGTGGTTTAGTGGTTGAAATCCAACCACCAAGCTGCTAAAATTTAGATTTGTGCTCCCCTTCCAACGTCAACCAAGATACAGTAAGGCCTCAGACATGTATTGAGCAACGCAAGCTCTGCATCCATGTTGCTAGAGCCACAAGTCAACGAGTTTTAGGATGCAAGTGCTCAACTGTACTATCCATTCCTTTCCAACAATGACTTGTTTCTTTTTGGTTCCTGTTTGGATTACACCGAACATGGGCTGCCCCAAAAAGGATATACCTGAACCACAACTGAACGCCCCTCATGATTTGCGGGCAACATGCCTGTTTTCTTCAGGGTACCCAATCATTTTTCAGGTTAGCGTTTTGGGCGCCATTTTGGTTTTGCTTGCGGATGTGAGAGTTGAGGTAAGCGAAAGGAAAACAACCCCGTTTTTTGCGACTTTGATCAACCCCGAAGAATCCAATTTTGTCGAAACACACCATCACAGTCGGAAAAAAGAAGAAGGAACAAAACACATTTCCATGATCCTTTGATCCCCCGGAAAATCCCGACTTCGGGGGAAAAACAACATCCATGGTCCATGATCCAAGTCTTTTTCGCACAGTCGGAAAAAAAAAGAGAAAAACATACCAAATTTCCAAGTCACCAACTAGTCACCCCATCGTGCCATCGTCACCTTTTTCCAAGTCACCCCAAGTCACCCCAAGTCACCCCAAGTCACCCCAAGTCACCCCAAGTCACCCCAAGTCACCCCATAGTGCCGTCCCAAAAAACAATCCCATGATCAAAGCCACCCCATGGGTCCAAAAAGCTTCCCCATGGTGCCAAGTCACCAAGTCACCAAGTCACCACGTCACCAAGTCACCAAGTCACCAAGTCACCAAGTCACCAAGTCACCAAGTCACCAAGTCACCAAGTCACCAAGTCACCAACACCATTTCCATGATCAACGTCACCCCGGTCCAAAAAGCTCTCAGGTCATCGCCAACTGCGGGCGCCAGCTCTCCTTCGCGGAGTTCTACACCGCGCGCACGCGACGCGTGCACTCCCGCTCCTCGGCTCGGGTGGCGGGGCAGGCGGTTTGGAGCGAGCGGACGTGACGAGTGGAGCTCCATGGCTCCGTGTGCAGTGCTTGGAGCCGCAAAGCAAGGGCCTTGCTCGAGAAATGGCCCAGGAAAAAAACAGGTTTTTGCGTTTTTGTCGCTTTTTGGGCGACCTTGATAACTGTCAGGCTGCAGTTGAAAAAAATCCGGGGTCGACATGACTGATGTCAGTTTGCACAGAAGGAAGGCTCACCGGAGATTTGATGATGACTCGGTTGGGAGATACCCGCAGCCCCCACTCAACATGGAGGCGTTCGATTCTTGGGGACTTTTTAATGTCGACATCGTGATGGTCGTTTCCCAGGCACAGATGCCTGGGCGCAGATCGCGTCAGCCTGTTCCAGGAGTGACCGCAAGCGTTTGCAGAAAAAAAAGATCGCGAGGCCCTGAAACAGGGGTTTCCTCCACTAGGTCCCCCAGCAGTGCCCTTTCTCACCCTTTTTTGGGAGAGGGTTTCCCTACTAAAATAGACTACAGAAAAAAGGGTACCCTTGTTCGAACCTCTCTACTGGAGAACCTAGTCCAATTTCCCGTTTTGGATCCAAACGTGGCGATCGGTGCAACGGAAAAGCCAGCAGTCAATTGATCAACTTTTCATCGGCACATCCAGTGGCCTGTGAAAGGCCGTTTTTGTTGTGGGGATGACGGTGATTTTTCCTGAAAGAGGGTTTCTTTGCACCTTCCAGGGGTGCCTTTTGTGGTGCAAGCAGGTAAGCCCTGTGGTTGCGGGTCTAGTTCTTGGTCTCCTGAGAAGCTGCAGGGACATGGACGATTTTCGAGAGGTCCTCCTATTTGACACCCAGACCGGTAGGTGAATGAAAGTAACTGGCGCAGAGCAGTTCTTCTGCGGCAGTTTTGGCGGGATGCAGAAAGTTGGAGCGAACTGCATGATCAAGTTCCTTTTCTAGGAGTTACTTGCGACTGGGCGCTTCTCACCATCAAGTCACCATCAAGCTGCTGAACCATGGTGCAACAAGTTGCCTGGGTTCGTCCGGGGCCGGGGGAATGCCACTCTTGCCGATCCCGGTCTGGATGACTCGGGGTTGAATCTAAAGATCTCATGGTTGAGCATCATGTCCTGGAACTCGCCCATTGAAAGAAGGGGAAACTAACCAGACGTGCGCAATTTCGCGGCGATGTTAGGCAGACCAAGAGACCCTTGCATCAACACCGGGAAAGGCAGGGCCCAACAAACTGAGTTCACCGAACCACTCACTTCTCCTCACCTTTGCAGTGGGTGTGTCTTGTCAAGTGGCCCCAAGGGCCAATTTGGACACCCAAGAGGTATCGCTTCTTATCCAGCGGTCTGGTTCGTTTGCCTTTTTAGAGGCTGCGGCTCAGTTTTTTGTGTCTTTCTCTTCTTTCCAGGTGCCATTTTGGGGTACCATGTTTTCTTCTCATTCAGCGCGGAACCCCTAAAAGCAGTTTGTGTGTGTGTGTGTGTGCAAAGAGGTGGGGAACCCCTAAAATCTGGCGTTTTTCCTTTGGTGTCACTCTAAAGCCAGCCCACATGCACTTTTTTCATTGGCGGCAGTTTCCCTTTCAACCCCCAGTTTCCCTTTAAAACCACCCACCCACCGACCCACCCGCAAAAACCAAGAAAAAAGAAAAAACACGGCACCCTCAACCGAAATTTCCCTTTAGAACCACCCTCCCCCCCCCCAAAAAAAAAAAAACAACAACAAAAAACAAACACGGCACCCTCCACAGAAAAGACTCGGCGCCAAGCGCCAGGAGCTTGCCCCTGACCTCGGCCTTGGCCCTGACCAACACCCTGGTGGCCACCACTTTGGGCGCGGTGAACGCGGGGCGCCCCGAGGGCTTGGGGGGGGGGGGCGGGGGGGATGGCCAGGACCTGGGGCCCCGGGTCCCGGGATCAAATTCGGGATCACCTGAGAAGCCACGGAATGAGTCGAGCTGCACCATGCCAACCAAAAACCGGGGGGTTGCAACCATGGCTTCCAAGTGGATGGCAGGATTTCGGCCATTTTTACGGTACCACCCGGGTCCCGGGTGCCCGGGAAGGTTTGGGCGGGGGGGCCGGGGGGGCGGGGGGTATGCCTTTGAAAATTGGGTGTTTCCAAAGGACCCTGAGGGGTCGGGGTTCTCCATTGGACGGGGGTCTGCATTGGAGGGGGCATGAGCTCTAGGGCTCCTTAGTTTAGTGTCTTGGTTTTGCAGCATTCATTGCGACATGCAATTACTTCCTCCAGGGGGGGGAGACCTGGAGCCCAAAGAAAGCGATAGCTGAAACCAGAATGCACACACAACGTGGCTGGCTTGCGTTGCCTGGTTTTCCGGTTCAAGCTTCTCGAAGAGGGGCCCGCCATTCTGAGAACCTTCTAAATCGCTCATTTGTGTTGTGCCAATATCCGACTAGTTTTTTAGAGTTCATCTACTGCTCCAAGGACAGAGTTGTCTAGGCCGGTGAAGCACCCTGCGGCTTGGGTTGTGCAATTTAGGTGCTAATGTTCCTGAACAACTGCTACTTGACAATTCAGCTGATAGAGGAAATGGCACATCAACAAGCTGATCCCATCAAATGTGTTTCTGTTATCCCTATTCAAAACCACAGGGCAACCGGCCAAGTTGCATACATGTCAAGATGTGGCTTGTCACAAGGGCAGATAGCAACTCCTCACCTGGCACCCTTGATCGGTTGGGCGCTCAAGATTTCCTGGACAAGATGCGGAGCAGGTCGTTTCCTTCAATGGGGACCCCTACATGGAAAACATGGGTGTGGGTCAAAATTAAACAGGGGACCCCAGGTTAATCCTGGGTTCCATTTACCAGTGTTCCACTTTGGGTACCCATTTTTGACCCACAGCCACATGAAGGCCGTTCAAAGCGATCGAACCGCGGTAGGTGTCGCTACTGAGCAACATGATGTTTGTGAGTTCTTGGGCTGCCAGGGTCACGGTGGGCGTCAGCGCATTGTAGCAAAATCATGCTGTGTGGCTAGGGCTGTGGCTTTTCTAGGACATGTACGTTTTCAGGACGACGTGAGGCTTGGTCAAAGTGCCCAGTAGTTTAGGACACGTGCGGCTTTTGCAGTCTTCCTAGCCAGCAACAGAGCATCAGCTTGCGCAGAGTTCCCGTTTTCGTCTAGCGACAGCAGGCTTCATGACCGGCAACAACCCAATCTCATGTCACAATACGGCTTCTGCTTCGCCGGATCAAAACAAGACTGCACCGGGGGCGTCCATTTGAGCAGTGCCCAAGACGCGAAAGAAGCGATTTTTGTACAGTGGGTGTCGCTACTACCTAACTTCTTTGAGGTTCAGATCGCAATGCCTAGCGAAACCTTCAAAGACTATGGTAGCAACAGCCAATGGGTACTTCTGCTTGCTGAAACCCGAGATGATGCATTGACGAAAATGGGAGAGGTAGCCGGTCAAACCAAGACTTGGCAGTTCTCATATAGGCTTGTGTTCAGAGAGCAGAGGGAGTTGTGACATGTCCCACTAAGAGTTGTTCACTTTTAGCTAGGGATCACCGAACCTTGGAAACTGTCAATGGGTTAAAGCAGATGTTCATACCCTATATAAGTTATAACGCCTTGTACAACACCTTTATGATGCTTTGATCTTTATGTGCCACCTTGGTAAACAGGATAACACATAACAGCACCTTTACAACCTTCACAACCGTCTCACTTGCTGAGTTCCTGGACTTTCACCGCTTTCTGGGACCATTTTAGTGGCAAACACGGCTTCATGCCTGTTGTGCCCAATCCACTCTCGGAAGTGCGCCTTGAAGCGGTGGTCTCTTCGGTGGCGGCGTGCTTTCAGGTCTCCTTCGGCGGTTTGTTCCCCATCTTCGGCCTGGGCGTGTGCATCCGCGCCATCCAAAAGGCCGTGGAGAGCCGCGAGAGCGCCATCATCACCTCCCAGGCCGCCGCTTCGAAGCGGCTTCTGGAGAGCCGGCTTCGGAGTCAGAGGGGGAGGGAGGGGAATGTGCCATGGACACTTTGAGTCGATTTTGCAGCCTGGAACCCGAAGAAACCAATACTCTAATTGAAGAAGCTTGCAAAATAGACCCTAAGTGTGGGGTGGTCAAACGTAAAGCGAACCCGAAGGGGGAAGGACTTTCTTGGTTGGAGGATATATATTTTTTCCCGATGATTGCTGGATTGCAACACATCTTCTGATTTGCCAAGGTGCAAAGTGTCATGACAGGACGTGGCCTGGCTCCGGGCCTTTTGTCTCACTTCCTGAGTTCATGAACTTTAAACTTGTTGGGAAGACCATTTTAGTGGTAAATATAAAGTTTGGACTTTTTTTGGGCCATCCACTCGGCAAGTGAGTTGTTGCAGCCGTGCGCCAGGAAGGCCGGGACGCGCAGACCCTGGGGGAGAACTTCCCGCCCTACCCGCAGCTGGGGCGCCAGGAGCGGGGAGATTTGCTGCCAAGGAAAAGCGAAACCCGACCTTCCATTTGCTGAAGAATGTGTTTTGTTTATTTTCCCTTGTTGCTTCTTGGTTTCAAAGGGAATTATTCCTACTGGGCGTATGATATATATATATATGTATATTATGTGTTTTTTCCTGGGAGCTTAAGCAAATGGAAGCAACTGGAGGTTGCCAGAACCCTGATTGTTCATCCCTAGGCGGGTGCCCAGATTGAGTTCATTGCTCACAAGGACGCATGGCATATTTGCCCCCGTAAAGTCTCCTAAGATTTGCCCTGGGTTGTCAAGACTTGGCGTGAAGAGGCCTGGCAATGGAGCAGCGTGCTTTAATTGCAGCCCACCTTGCTTTCCCAGAATCTACATTGTTTTTGTTTGGGGGGAACACTAAATAAAGCCAACTTTTGAGGGTTCCCTTAGTTTGAGACAAACCCTACGTATGGCCCTCATGACGCCTCATTTAGGAACAACCAGGGCCTTGAGGGGATCCCCAAACTGCGATCCTGAAAGTGTTGCCGCAGTCCGCCTTGCGCCAGTTCACAGGCCCGTCTCGGGCGGAGTCTCAGACTGAAGATGGGAGGTGGCTCCGAAAATTTACAAATCAATGCGATGTCCGATTGTTACACTAGGTTCCCCAGTAGTGCCCTTTTACCCTTTTTTGGAGGAGGGTTCCCCTACTAAAATAGACTACAGAAAAAAAGGGCACCCTTATTCTAACCTCTCTACTGGAGGACCTAGTACAGCTAGTTTGAGAGTCCGACTGGTCCTTGCTTTTTCAGCTGAAAGCTATGGGGTCTCTGCCCAGATAGGCTCTGGGGGTGGTTTAGGGCAGCTTTCAGGGAAGGTTCAAAGGGAGGGTTATACACGTTCCCAGGAAAAAGCCAGAAAGAAACAGCAACCAAAAACAGCCACATGGGTGTGTCTTAAAATCGGGAGCTCCTAAAACTGATGTTCCAAGAAAAACACACACCAAACAAGGGGGGTTCAGTGCGCAACCCGTAAAAACAGGTGGTTCTTTGTTTCCATTGGTGTCCCTTTGAAACCCCCAAAGAAGGGTAGGGAACCCCTAAAATCTGGCGGTTGGTGTCCCTTTGAAACAAAACAAAAACGGAAAATGCGGCGTTCTCCATTGGTGTCCCGAGAAAACGTCCCACCAAACAAGGGCAGCTGTTTCTTTGTTTCCATTGGCGCCCCGTTAAAGCCACCAAAGAAGGGTAGGGAACCCCTGAAATCTGGTGGTTTGTCTTCAAGACCCCCAAAGAAGGGCAGGGAGCCCCTAAAGACTGGAGGGTGGTGTCCTTTTAAATCCATCCAACAAGCAACAAAGCCGCTTTATGCGGCGTTTTCCAAAAAAACAACAAAAAAAAAGCACGGGGCCACCCTCAACAGAAGCGAAAACGGAAAATGTGGTGTTTTCCCTTGGTGTCCCAAATTAAAACCACCCAACAAGAAGAGCACGGGCCAAGCGCCCCCCGGTCTCTCCCCCACCCCCTCGCCCCGCTTTTTTTGGGCCCCTCAGGAGGAGATGCCGACGGAGGATCCGCGGAGCCTGCGGGCGGACCTGAAGCAGCTGAGCAAGGCGCGGGCGGGTGGTGAAACTTCCCCCACCAGGGAGGGGGGGGGGGTTCCGATGCTAGGTCCCCCCACCCGGAAGAAAATAACAACGGGGCCACACCCAAAACCCGGGTGACTAGGTCCCCCAGCAGTTGGGCAGATGTTGGTGCTGGTTTCCAATGGTTCTGGGTGATTTTTTTAGGGACCTCACACGACCGAACTCACCCCAAATGGTTGGTTTATGTGGGGAATAGCCCCCCTAACCATATTTCAGGTTGGTGAAACATTGTAATTCACCCAGATGGTTCCCCCACCCCGAAAAAAAACAACAACTGGGAGCCAGACATAGACCAAAGATAAGCTATCATAGGTGTCCTTTTTGGTTGCTTTGGTCGAAAAATAGATGGCGATTCCTGGTTTACCTGGTGGTGTAATCATCTACCAGGGAAACCCATCTATTTGCCCTAAAAAAACACCTATGCCCGCGGGGGTTTCCAATGCTAGGTCCCCCAGCTAGGTGCCGTTTGACCGATTCTTTTTTTGGTTGGGAGGGTTCCCCTACTAAAATAGACTACAGGAAAAAGAGTACCCTTATTCGAACCTCTGGAGACAAAAGTCGTGTACCCTTATTCGAACCTCTCTACTGGAGGCCCGAGAAAAAACAACAACTGGGAGCCATGCATAGACCAAAGAGAATATAGTTGGCTCCACCAAAAGCACCGGGCAGAGCCAGAAATAGACCAACTAGAGAGCTAGCGGCCATTTACCATGTCAGTGTGCAAGCGGTTTACCAGAGTGGATTTGTCTAACAATTGAGCGTTCTCGAAGCCCGACGTTGCACTCCTGTCGAGCATACTTCGAGAGGCTTTTGTTTCGACAAAACGCTTTGGGATCGATAGGCCCAGACCTGTCTAGGCTCCGGTGTGTTTCGAAGCGGCGGGTTAGGGCTCGGGATTTTCCACTTCCGGGTTGGTTGTGTTGTAATGCCGCCGTCCCATATCCTCAGAAAGGCTCCAAATCGCGGCAAGGCCCAGCACCGAGCTTTTGACCAAGTGGGTTCCAACTGCTTCGCCTTAACTCAGGCCCTCCTTGGGAGAGACGGACCCCATGTCCCGAGATGTTGCGGAGCTTTCCATGGAGCTTCTCAACGTAAATCGAACTCCAAAATGGGGGGTGTCCATGCTTCAATAGAATCATCCGAAAGAAAACGGGGCCCAACAAAAAGCGGATGATCAAGTGCCCTTTGAGATGCTTCGAATACCCAGATGGGCGAATTTGGCGAGATGGGTGAGGTGGTTTTCAAGACGGATTCCTCCTCCCCCGGCAATTTGTGTGGTAATGTTAAAAGGCTTTCCCGTGGCCATATTATGACGGCCTGAAAGACCCATGAACACCTTAGGGGCGGTTCGGGCCTCTGTGGCCACTTGCCGCACTTGAAAACCGGGGGGGAGGGGGGAAGTGGACGCGAGTTCTGGAAGCGCAAGGCACGTTGAGCCTGAGACATAGCTGGGGAAGCTTTGGATGCTCCAAGGACGCGACAAGTATCCCAGCATAGCTCGAACCAAAGGCGAGTGAAAAACCTGCCGAAGCCCAACTGGATCAGCACAAACAAACAAAAAAGTAGGTTGGTGCCCTTTGGTCTCTTTCTGGACCAAACCCCCCAGGTGTTCCCTGGGTTTCATGGGCGTTTGGTCTCTCTTTCCCTCCGTTTCATGGCCAAACCTCCTTTTCTCATCAACCCTCGGGGTCCCAAGTCCCTGCCGCCTTCTCGTCCTCACGCAGGCGAGTTTCCGCTCCGGCGTGTCGCGGCTGTCCCGAGGCTGGGACCCTGTCGCGAGTGGCAAAGGAGTTGGGCAGAGGTTGGTGACGAGGTCCCCCAGTAGTGCGCTTTTTACCAGCTTTTTTTTGGGGGAGGGTTCCCCTGCTAAAATAGACTGCAGAAAAAAGAGTACCCTTATTCGAACCTCTGGAGACAAAAATCGGGTACCCTTATTCTAACCTCTCTACTGGAGGACCTGGGTGACTCTTTCCTAGAAACTGGGGGTGAAGGTGCGCGGATCGGATCCGCCTTCAACATGCAACCAGTCATGGGCTCTAGGAGGCAAACTGCGCAAGGAGAAACAAGCGTTCAAAGGAACCAACGGGACCAGCAGATCATTCAATTGAAATGAAAACTTGGGTGTTGCGGAGTAGTTCATCAGATTTTGGAGCGGCTGTTTGAGGTACTCTCTTTCCCACGACACGCCATGGCACTTGACAGGGAACTGGATCTTCCAGTTACCCTCCTGGGAGGAAGGGTAGACGTTGAGTCGCTTCGAGTTGGGCAGATGTGTTGGTTTCTTCCTAGAAACTGGGGTTGGGGAGTAGCCCATATTTTGGAGCCACAGGCATGTTAGGGGAGTCACGGCTTAATTAGGTTTTAACTGCTCTTTGGATGATGGAATTCAAAACCTTTCCCACGGATCTCGAGGGCCAAAGGGGCAAAAGGTCTTGTGGCATCTTGCTGCAGTGCCAAACGCAAGAATGCCAGACAGGTGGTTTTTACAATGTTTAGAGCATAGCCACCCGCTGCCTCACTGAACCTGTCATGCTCCCTTGGCGCTTGCTGGGGAGCGGCCTCCGGGTGCGCCCTTGCATTGCGTCGACAGGTACCAAACCCCTCCTGTATGCTACTGGAGCATCCATCCTGTTTGTGGTGGGGGTTGTAACCTGTGAACCCAGCGTTAGAAGTGGTGTTTTGCTTTTTTGGACACCCGCGAGACAATTTCCGTCTCTTTGTTTAGGGGACCCCCAAAATGGGGTTGTGTTTTCTGCTTGGTTCCCTTAAAAACCATCAACAGGTTTTGGGTCTGTCTTTGTTTAGGGCGCCTCCCCCCCCAAAAAAAATCCCCCAAATTCCAAACTGGGTGGGTTTACCACCCCCCCCAAAAAAAAAGACAAAGAATGGGTGGGTTTGTACAAAGGGTTCCCCCCCAAAAAAATAAGTAAATAATGGGTGGCTTTAAAAAAGGGTAGCCTCCAAAAATGGACGAAAGAGGGGTCCCGCGTGAAGATTCCTTCGATCCATCCGCAAGGCTTCCTGCGGCTCTTCGAGGATACCAAGCCGGAGCAGGCCTTCAATCAGACCTCCGACCAGAAGGCCTGCCCGGAGAGGTTTGGATATGACAATATATTGGGCTAAAGCGTTAACCGTAGGTGGTCGCTTGTCTTGACTCTTAATAAGTATCCACTTGGGCCACCATTTTGGCTCAAGTGGACCTTTTGATCTTTTGTCTTGTGATTTGAAATCTTTCTTTCCCCTACTCTCAAAGCCATGTACGCCCCCGCCTACGCTGGTGCCGCGGTAGCAGAGGCCAAGGCTAAGGCAAAGGCCTCCATGGCAAAGTACCTGGCGAACCTCGTGAAGAGGGAGGAAGAAGGATGGACCGTTTTGGCTGCTGAGGTCCCTCAGGCACCTGACGAGCGTTTCTTCTCCAGCGCAGATGAGCTGGAGCAGGCCCCCCTTATCCCGGCCAAGCGCAAGGCAGAGGATGAGCCGATGGAAGATGCAGCCCCTGGGGTGGCGCAGGTGCCGAAGGCCCTGACACGCCCCCCAGGGGCGTTCCTGGAGCTCCTGAACCCGCCGGAGGAGGACGTGCCCATGGAGGAGCTCCTGGCGAAGGACGAGAAGGAGCTGCCGATGCCCAGGTTCCCCTCGGCTGCAGCCCGCTTGGAGGAGGCCCGCCTGGATGCCCGGGCAGACGCCAAGTGGCAGAGGCGCCGGGAGCTGATGGCGAAGGTCAAGGAGCAGGCGTCCTCGGAGGAGGATGAGAACCCCGCAGCCCCCCCGCCGGGGGGGAGCGTGTTCACCAAGGCCCTCAAGGTCTCGGAGGGCCTCTACCAGTTCAGCGACGACCAGATGGCGGGCGACTTCCCTTGCTTCGATGCGACCACGGCCACTAGGCTCCGCCGACTGCAGGCCAAGGACGTCCAGCGGCTCCTGCGAGGCTTTGAGGGCCCCCAACTCAAGCAGGGGGGCCTGGAGCGCGTTGTGGAGGCCTTCTACATCGCCAAGATGAAGTACGAGCATGAGGCCCGGCTCAGCACCCCGGGACAGCAGGTTGGCAAGCGCGCTGGCTTGGGGTACGGGGGCCTGGAGAACCGCCCCCTGGGCAAGGTGCCCACATCCTGGATCTGCCCCTGCTGCACCATGCCCTGGGTGAAGAAGGGCGCCACGAAGTGCATGGGGTGCGGCAAGAAGACGGAGCCCATTGACACGGCGACCAACTCGGCCACCCTGGAGATGGCGGGCACGCATTGGCAGTTGACGGTGGATGACCAGGGCAATGCGGTCTGGACGGCGGCCCGGTCCGCGGGTGCCGAAGGCCCTGACACGGACCGGGCCCGCGACCTCAAGCTCAGTGCCTCGGTGGACGTCAGCGAGCTGGCCACCGACCCGATGGCCTGCGAGAACCCGGACCAGGCCAGCTTCTCGGACTTCGTCCCCTCCTCGGTCCGGGCGGTGATCAGGAACTGCCCCATGGAGCTGGACGAGGAGTTTCTGACGGCCCCACCGGGGGAGAGGCCCCCATTGCCAGGCGACAAGGAAGAGGGCCAGGAATGCAGAGCCTTCCACCCGTCTGCGGTGAAGGCCTTCAAGATTCAGACCCGGCTCAACGCCACCACCATCGCCCAGGAGGAGGCCAAGAAGGCGGACCAGGTGGAAGCGGTGGAGCGCTCCGCGGCGGTCCTCCACGAACTTCAAGGGGGGGCCATTGACGGAGGAGGTGATGGAGGCCTGCTCCTGAAGAACCTGGACTTGGACCTCTTCCGTGAGAAGCTGCTGGACAAGCTGGGTGCGGACTGGGGGAGACCCACACCGGAGCTCCTCCAGGCCCAGACCACTGCGGAGGAGGCGAAAGCGAAACACCAAGCCAGACAGGCGAAGGGCTCCCTCGAAACCAGAATGCTCGAGCCCATCGCGCCTCCCTTCAGTGCGTGGCCTAGTGAGGTCCGGGTCGCCATTGAGACTGGGGTCTTCGAGCCGACAACGGCATGGAGGGACTTCAGTATGGACGACCTCACATCCCTCACGGACTCCTACCTTGAGGCCAAGGCGGTCATCTCGCTGGGTAGGAATCCCTTCCCGGCGGCCCTCCTGTCAGATCTGCCGGACCTGACAGGGATCCCCATGCCAAAGGCGGGGGGCTCTGGTGCGGCGCGCCCAGGTGCCGAGGGCCCTGACAGGCCGCCCACCATCCCCCCAGCCTCGGGCTCTGGCGTGACGAGCTCAGGTGCCGAGGGCCCTGACAAGCCGTCCGCCACCCCGGTGGGCCTGGACACCAAGGACCCGGAGGTGCAGCTCTCGGTCCTGCGCTGGATGATGAGCAAACGGGTCGGAGAGGTCCGTATCTTTGCGGGCCGCTGGGTCCGACGACCGGGCCCGGTACACGTCCCGGATTGGGCGAAAAACCTCACCAAGGTGAATCCGGAGGCGTTGGAGAAGGGTACGCATCCCAGGAACCACCAGGTGGGTGGACTCCCCTGGGCCAGGTACTCCGTTGATGAGTTGAACCAGCAGGCGAAGGCGGGGGACCGACCCTACCCTGGGGACCTGCGATCCATCTTTTGGGCTGCCCCCCACGATCCGGATGAGGACTTCCACTGGACGCGCCAGATCTCGTCCTGGACACTCCCAGGCCTACTGGGGATGTTCGGGCACAGCTACACCCTGCGCCAGCTCTGGGGAGTCTGGGAGTCTCTGCCACTGCTGCAGGGCCCTAGGCAGCGGGGCCCGAAAAACAAGGCCCAGAATCAGACCCGCCTGGAGGGCTGGGAGACCCTGAAGGAGGACGCGCGGTGCTTCCTGAAGGAGGAGGGCCTTCCGTTTCCGCAGACAGGACCGGAGTGGCGATTGGTCTACCGGGCCATGGGCAAGGTCCTCGCGGCCCGGGCCTTCCTCACGGACACCCCGGCGGAGGTGATGCAGCTCCCGGTCCAGGACGTGGCGGACTCCAAGGAGCAGATGATCCTGCGGGCGGTATGCGACGAGCGCATCTCGGTCCCGGTGGAGAGCCTCCAGCAGTTCCCAGAGGTGTACAAGGCCCTCATGGACCGCATTGGAGGCCCGGGGGCCCTGGCGGAGGTGAAGGTCAACTGGCGCTGCAACACGAAGCAGTGGTGGGTCGGCGCAGTCCCCGACTCAGTGGCCCCCTCCATCTACCGCAAGCTCGGCTACACCAACGACATGATCAAGCTGATGGGCCTGGACCCCTCCGCCCCTGGGTGCCGGACAGGTGCCGATGGCCCTGACATCCGCCCCAGGGGAGGCGAGGGCGATGAGGGGATCGTTTACCCCCCCATCACGGCGGACAACGTCCACGGCGTGGTGGGTAAGGACTACCGGAAGAAGAACTATCCGGTGGAGATGAAGCATGTCTTCTGGGCGCACATGGAGTGTGGCCTGGTCCTGAGCTCCGTCACCCCGTGGGAACTCATCCCGAAGACAAAAGGGGAGACCCGGGGGGGCTACATGTGCAAGTATTGTAAGGGGTACTGGCGTGCCGGGGGAGGGGGCACCCGCCTCCTCCAGATCCGGGCCGGCAAGGCCATCTTGCAGCTGGTGTTGGACGAGCCGCCGGAGGGCCTCTACAACCGCTGGGTGAAGGAGCGGCTGGAGTACTACCGCCGGGTGGAGCCCTCGGCCCCGTTGCGGGACGTCTCCATCGTGGACCAGAAGGTGCCCAGGTTCAGATTCAGCCAGACCACCCAGACAGGCCACGTCTCCAATGCCATCTGGGAGCTGATTCTGCGGAATCCGGAGGCTGCTGCGCTCAAGCGCATCGATGACATCGCGAAGGGGGCCGCGTGATGATGCGGGACAACGCCATCTTCCGGCACACCATCCAGGACCGCGGCCATCCGGAACGGATGCGCAGCGCACCCCGGGGGGGGGACAGCTGCCGAAGGCGCTGATATCCCCCCCCAGGGAACAGCGCAGGCCCAGACTTGCACCAGGCGAGGAAAATTGGCGCGGCTTGGGCTGATCCGGGGTGCGCCTTGGTTCCCCTCTCTTGTTTGGTTTTCCCTTTTCGGGGCGGCTCCCTGGGTCCCCCTTTTTCCCCCGTTTCCTCCGTTTCGGGGTTGACTTTCCGGGGTTTTGGGGGGCCCCCTGTTGTTTGGTTGGGGTTTGCACCTAGGGACTAGGCCCCCGGCTCGAGTGGATCATGATGATGTGGAGGCCCCGCCTCCCTTCCCCGTTTGGGACGACCTTCCTAGGGGCGCCAACCGCGCTCCAGTTGATTTTGCATGACCTTGGATTTGCACCAGTGCAGTCGGACGGGGAAATCCTCGTGGCGTGCTGCCTGGAATGGGTCAAAAAGGACAAGGTCGCCAACCCGGATGCGGTGGTCTTTGACCCGCGGCCGTGGACACGGATCGTGGGGCTGGCACCTGACGGCAACCACGTCCTGGTGGCCTCGGACACCTACAACTTGATCCTCGCGAGGATACTCGGCTCCCAACCACAACCGCTGGAGGAGGCGGATTTGGAGCTCGCTACTAAGACCCTGCAACAACTTCTGTTTCGTGCGGCAGGCGCCAGGCAATCGCACACCTATTCTCCACTGGAAATGGAACAGGCCATCCGGGACCGCGAAGAGTGGATCCTTTCCGGATCGATTGAGGCCCCGGATGTCCTGGCAGTGGCCAACAAGTGGCGGCATTGGAAACCAGGGAAGATCAAAACCCAATTGCCGACATCTCAGAGAGCGTTGGAACAACACTTGAGGGCCAGGTGGTTGGAACGCCTCCTGGGATACTTCATCCCCTTCCGGCACCAGATCCCCTACATGCACCAGGTGATGGGGGCCAGGGAGCTGGAGGAGTTTGGCCACCTCTTTGGTGATGCCCGGTTCCGTACCATCCGGGCACACTGCTTGGCCTATGAGGGCATGCGCAAGATCGGCTTCCAGAACCTCCCCTGGACGGCCGGCGACGTCCGGCACCTCATGAACCAGGCGGTCACGTTGGAGGTCACCCCGGCGAAGCTCCAGAAGTGGTGGGGCACTTTAAAGTGGCTCTCCATTAAACTCGGCATGCTCAACGTTGACGAACACAAACAACTCCTGGAGAAGCGGAAAGCCATCCAGGAGACGCTGG